GGTGAAAGGCTCGTATGGCATTTGCTAAATGACGCTATTTCAGGCGTGGACAGGATATCCGGCTAGCTATCGATTGAAGAACATGTGCACTGTGCAACTGTCCCTTCTTTCCTCCTTTACAGCTGTACGACATGGTCACTGAAAGTGGAACATATGAAAAAAGGCTAGGTGGACATTGTTAGGTGAGGTGATGTCTCTGTCTGTCTGGATTCAACATAGAACTTGGTACCGAAGTGCACCAGTTCCAGTTGCCACCTTCCAAATAGCACACACAGAGGTAGACAAGAAGATGAGTGATGAGAATCAATAGAGTTTGACAAGTATAAGAGTGAAACAGAATGGGTAATGGTAGAAAGGAATATGAAAGATTACAGAGACTGAATACATCTGCGCTGGCCATTGACAACGATTTTGAGCCATGTCACCTATTGTCTCCAGCCATTGATTCCTAGAGTCCCGACGGCCCCAACACGGAAATCTGCTTCTACCTCCCTATCTGACTCAGTTTAACTGTCAAGGATTTCATGGAGCGATGAGGCCATGTTTTTGTTTGGCCACCACTTACCCTTTTCCAACCTGCATCTATATCAGGTGAGGTGATAAAATCCATGGATGAGATTGTGAAGATACTTTCGCTTAGTTAGCGAGTATAAGTGTTACGCATGCCGAATTATCTGCATCGTCGACGGGCAATGTTAGCTGATATAGGATCAGGTTGGAAAAGAGAGCTACACATGGTAAAACCATAAAGTCGTTGACATTTAGTTTGAGGCGTCTAGGCTTGCTGGCCGGTTGGGGTCTCTTCAAGATTCTAAGAACCACAATGGCGGCTGGAGACACCTGGTGATATGGCTTAAAATCATTGTTAGTCGCGCAGATGCATTCTTTCTCCATCACATCATCGTTCTGTTGAATGTCTTTTTCCCTCTTTTGTTTTCTCTTGTATGCTACATGGAGTGTGGAACCTCGAGTTCCTGCACTTCTGTGTTAAGTTATTATGTTGAAACCAATCAGTCAGTCAGTCAATAATTTACTCGTTGAAAAGGAGGGTTAACTACGGCATATCAGAGATATCTGAAGGATTGTTTGAGAGCTACACAAACGCATCAAGAAAATAAGACGGAAAACTAACTTAGTAATCATAATACCTGACTTCAATGATGACAGAGTATGTACATGACATTGTAATTATTTTTATCGGATAAAAGTATTATAAAACCTATGGGATGTACTCGAAATTTTAAAGATAATTGATATAGTACTTTTACTGACCACATTCTTCTGTGACAATAACATCAATAGTAGATGGTTGCAGGCAATTGGCCACAAGAATCTTTGAACCTAGGTTTCGTGAAGGGTTGGCACTCACTAGTATGCAGGGTGTATTCGCACTCTTGGGGGAACTCATGCCCTTTCGAGATTCGAACCAGCGTCACCCAGTGCTGCAGTCAGAGAAGTTACCACCGAGATATCATTGATATGTATCCACATGATGTGTATTTTGTTTTTGACAGTCTATTATATTTTGCTATGTGTATATGGATCGATATTTCACTATAACTGACAGTATCCTTTTCTCTCCACTAACTAAATAAACATGTATGACCTTATTATCACATGACATTACAACCAATCATGGTAAGATGACTGTCTATTGGTTCATGTGTATTAGCCATTTTCATATATACTCTTGCTTATTATTCTTGTTCACACACTTTTTCGTACACTAAGTACCACTTCTCTCACACTCTTGTGTGACATTTATTTCCCTTGTCTGGAAAATACAAGTATCATCGTAAACCTGGTGGTCTTCTGATTTCCCTCTTTCTGCGTCAGGACTATTAACTACTCGACGAGTACATAACATAATTGGCAACGGGGAAAACTCTAACATCTCACTCAGCGACAGTACATAACAATCATCCAACTAATGTGCACCGTGATGGTGAGCTACCAAGAATGGTGACCACATTGCAAACCTGACTGATAAAATTCAGTCTGCACCAAACAAAGGACTAGACACCCCACGCTAGTAACTAGTGTCCAATCAAAACAGTTACCTGAATTAAAACCTTTGACGCAAAACTTTGCACAAAGAGTGACACGAGTGTTCAAGCACTACCACAAGCCAGGAAGTACAAATAAATAATAAGCAAAAGAAACGTGATGTGCGTCGGTGGCACAACGGTTAGCACGCTTGCCGACCATGCACATGGTCCGGGGTTCTATCACCGGCCGACGCATGCCTTTAACTCACTTATCCAGTAATAAGACTGGTAAAGAGGGGAGGTTGGGCATGAGGCTAGCAACCCCACCCTGTAAAAATAAACGGTGCCACAGAAACTTCAGGCCTACAGCTTGAAGCCCTATGTTCCACTGGGAACGTGAAGGAAATTAAAAAAGAAACGTAGTAAAGGCGTTAAACGTAGGCGAAAGAATACTTAAGTAAGTGGGAAATAAATAATCAATCTGGGAGGTTGCAAGGAATGGGTTCTACCTACACCATTCCTAAAGATGCTGAGCAATATTATTAATAATCTTTTAGGTTTTAGCCTCTCGAGAACCCTGGTCACGCAGTCCATACTCATCTATGTGGCTAAAACTAGTACTCAAAGACTTTACAAGCTGATGTCATGTTTTGATTTGGCCAACTGAAACAATTTTCCAACCCAATTCCTATGTCGCAGAACATTGCTCAACAAGGTAGGTGATGGCCTGGCGTGCGTAACACTTATCCTGAGCATCTTAACACGTGAGGTATGTGGCATATGGTTGAATAGAGGTAATCTCTTCCTATCTCCGAGTAACTGTCCAATACAACAAGGGCTGAAATGTTTTTGCAAAAGTGAGGTTGCTTACGTTATGGACCAATCAAAAACATTGTGTATCTCCGGCCAATAAAGCAAGCAGCCTTACTATTGACTATATCTTTGAATTACTATGGTATGCTAATTATTGTAAAAGGTTCCAATAACGTGCTCGGTTGGCGATTGATGATGTACAAAGTATGATACAGCTTCACAACCTCATCGATTGATTTCCCCTCCTCAAATCATGATGTACAACAACATATAACTTCATTATTTCTGCCGATATTTACCCACTTGACACAAACACAGTAACCATCACTTTTGATCCCATATTGGGCGTTGTTCGACTTGTCACATTGCTAGGTTAGAGCTTTTGTGAAACAACTGTCGGCCTGTTTGAATCTCTAGGTTACCCGAATTTCCATCCGAGACAATGCATCTTATTTTCTTTAATTCATTATGGATAAGATTTTATTTCGATAAATCATAGTGTTATACAGTAATATTAACTGATGACGTTTCGAGCACAAAATACTACTCGGCACTCCTCCTTTATGGCTGTGAAACGGGCAATGTTAGCTGAAATAAGGTCAGACTGGAAATGAGGTAGTGGTAATGGTCAAACTAAAACATGGATTCATCAGTCAATGAAATACACAACAGTTAATTTAAGCCAGCCACGTAGGGAGGTGTAGACTGGCTTCCTGGTTAGGGTACTTGGGACGTTAAACATCAATGGCTGGAGACAGTTTGTGATATGGCTCAAAATCGTTCTGAAAGGCGCAGATGCATCCACTCCTTGTGACTTATAACACACAGTAAAACTATATTCTTCTTCCATATTACTACTCTTTTTACTTCATATCTCCAGTTTGCATTCCATTTTACTTTTTTCTCTTATTTTGTAATAGTCCAAGGAGGAAGTGGGGCAATTCGAACTGCTGCACATCGGTGCAAAGTTCTATGTTGAAACAGGCCAGCCAACCAATCAATGAGCATGTAATCTGGCTTACGTTAAACGGCCCTTTGGTCTGCAGACAGCCGGATATCACGTCTACTAATCCAGAGACGCCGTAAACTAGCATATGCATAACCAGCCTTCTGTATCCGTGCTGAGATTTCGTCGGCGATCAATCCGTTTGGCTGGCTGATGCAACTTCGCAAATAAGTGGAGCGGTCAACGCGTTCTACCACTTCACTCCCTATTTCTAAGCTACGACCAAGTCGATGTAGTCGAGCCCTGTAGCATCATCTTACATTTAGCGGGAGCGAATCGTATGCCAAACATTCAAAGATTGCTTTTTGATCCAGATGTTCAAAAGACTTTGCTGCATTTTGTCAGCGTTTTCACTTAGAAAGACTATATAATCTGCATATTCTAAGTCGATGAGATTATTCTCTGACGGTAACAAGTCAATCCCTTAGTCGCTGAAGTGAGTTAGGGTTAATTCCATTAGTACATCTATGATGAAATTGAATAGAAATGGGGATGATGGGCATCCCTGACGGACACCACTAGTCGTCACCAGTTCAGATGACAACTCGCCGTAAGCCCTCACCTGGCTGGATGCATGAGTTTGAGTAGATTGCCTGGATCAGTGCAGTGTATTTTCTTGGCATTCCCTTTACAACCAAGCATCACCAGAGTACTTCTCGAATGCCGCCTTTAGGTCAAGAAACATCACACAATTGCTGGACGCGGGTAAGTAGGCCTATGTTCCAGAATCTGTCGAAGGGTGAAGATAATGATGGGTATACCTTCTTCCTGGCTCTCTCGTGTTTGTGTCTCCCGAGCACCACTCAGTCTACGCATGATTATTGAGCCTAAGACTTTAGATACTATATTAGTCAAGCTAATCCCTCTGTGATTATCACAGGAAAACTTGCCTCCCTTGTTTGTATATCGGGATAATCAATGACTTACACCAACCCGACCGGACATCCTCTGATTCCCAGACGCTGTCTAGTACCTTAGTTAACGCAGACAGTATACTGTATACAAACATAAATATATGATCGCTTGACAATATCCCGTGTCTTGCCTTCTGTTGTTACAGTAAATTCAGTATGTAGTGTGTTAACCAATCACAGCTTAATATATACATATATATACTACACAACCAGAAACACAAAAGACCAAAGCAGGATAGGAAATCTATAATTTTCGGGTATTACAATACAGTCATATATATATATATATATATATATATATAAATCACAACCATTAATATATTATTTGTCCGAGGTATTATCCTACTCATCATTCCCAAAACATACTACAAAATTCAAAAATATTATGTTGTCGGAAAACAAAAAAAAACAACAGAAAAATCATAAATTTTTTGGAAAAAAAGGAAAGAAAAGAAAAACGAAAAACAACAAATAATCCGAAAGAAAAGAGAAGAAACAAAATAATAATCTGTACAAATGATCACATAGCGCTTTTTTCTTGCCTAAACATGGGGAAATATTGTGAAGAGACTATTGTTATTAGCTGGTTTTTCTGGTGTGGTTCAATTCAAAAAACAGGCACATACCATGAAAGACATGAATAATATGAATAATGATAATTAAGAATGAGATTTTCGCTAGTGTTGTTGTTGTTTCTTTCCCAATCCTCCCACTTATTTACTGTCACACTACACTTCTAGCAGATTACCAACACAACATTTACAATGTGGACAATCATGACGAAGTGCATGATATCGTAGACTTTGTAAGGATGATGATAGCTGTGCTGTATGGTTTTCCTGTTGGATGTCATCAATTAAATCGTGATGAACCAATTCTTCACCATGATCACCAGCACCACCACCACTGGTTGAATCTTTCATTGAATTACCCATATCTTCATCGTTCAAGTTGGATGCATCTGACTCAAACTCCGATTCATCGATAGTCGGTTCAATTTCTTGAATAAGATTTTGAAATTCATTCAAAAAGCCAGGTGAAAAGTCTAACAAGATAAGAACAAACACAAATAGTGATAATAATTAATAGTAATAATAATATTTAACTGTATTTTAGATTTTCCCGTCCATTGATTGGACCGAAGTGCTCGGTCTCAGGTTGACACGTCAGCTTCTTGTGCAGATGCTTCGGTGATGTCTCGGCGAGTGATTAGAATTTGATTGGTGGATAGTGACTAGCAGTGTAATTGAGGACGGGCATTTCGTCCTATTTGAGATTCGTTATTTGCATGTTCCTGTATTTTCCAGGGAAAATCTAAAACTCAATTAAATAATCAATATGACCCGTTGCACAAGAAGCAGTGGCTCTCGTGGCGCAAGTGGTCTTGTAGATAACGCTCTGCCGTTTGAAACGATGAGCACTGGGTTTCGAGCCTCAATGGAAAAATCATCACTCACTGCAGAATGCAGCTACATTCAGATGGCGAGTCCTAAATAGGACGGAATGCGCATCTTAGATCCCACTGCTAGTCACCATGTACCGATTAACTTCCATAAAATGGTTTCTGACGTTCAAACCCTAATTGAGCAAATTTGTTCGTTACAGGTGAAAATTTTATGAAGATTCCGGAGTTGTTCTGCACTCAACATCTCGTAAAAGATCATTCATGTAGCTGGCTAAAGGCTACACTAGTCGTGTGATAACTGACAATACCATCCCATTCCGTAGACTGGAAGAGAAGAAGTGAGACTCGAATCGGCAATCCTAAATCAAGTGTCAACGGAGTAAGTACAACGTGACAGAACCAACATAGATACTTGTATATATCGAACTTTGATCAGCCGAACAAGAAATAACAAATCCCGTGGGGTAGCACAAGAGTGGAGGATTCGCACACAAACCAACAAAATCACTTCACTCAACCAGCCCTAGGTCAACCGAAAGACTCAACAACGAAAGAAGATAAAACCAACATCATCTGCAAAATAAATTGTAACAACTGCGAAAAACACTACATTGGCCAAAGTGGATGTCCTCGTCGTCTCCGTATCTATGATCATAAACTAGCTGTCAGAAGACATGTCATCCACTCCCTCATATATCACTACATACAGACAACCAAGGACATCAATTCAACTGGGACAACGTTCAAATATTGAACAGAGGAAACACGAAGAATGCCAGAGATTTTTTAGAAGGCTGTCTGGTGTTCTAGTGAATCGTCAATCAATAGACACGCTGACACAGACAAAATTTACCAATCAATCAGAAAGAAATCTCACACACAATGGGTCAAACTCTAGATCAAGGAAGCAGTCAGTACCTATACAAATACAAGTAGCCTAGAGGGTGTGAAAACACACAAAAACAATCAATCACGACGTTTAAGGTGACCGGGACAGATAACTAATAAACTGGTGGAAAAATTTGAAAACTCACTTCAATAAACTGAAGTATGCGCTGAAGATGTTGTCTAGTGTTAGGCTAATGAAAGCTTCACAAAACAACTATCCAACTCAGAAAACACAACTACATCAAAAAACTTACTTGTATCATTCACCTCTTCCGCATTTGTATCTCCTAAATGTTCATTATGAATTCCATTTATCTCTTTTGTATTTTGAGCAGGTTTCATTTGTTTATAAAGTTGTTGTAAACGAGCACGTAAGCGTTTCCGGTCGTCGACAAGACGTTGTAGCAGTAGCTCACGAGCTCTAGCACGTTTTGCTGCAGCAGCACGTCTATGTGTGAATAGTGTGACATATTCTTCAACTGTTGTCGCTTCCATCTCCAACTGAGCATTTACACTTTCTAATCGACTGCGTTCCTCTGAAACTGTGCTAAGTTCTTCCATACATTTGATAAATTTAGCTTCTAATTGTGTATGAGCAACCTGGATAAAAAAAAATTAGTTCAACATTAGTTTACTACTATTTTGAGATGATTGATTTTTCAATAGATTAACAAATGAGCAATTCTGTGCCTAATATGAAGTGGTTATTGTGATTTTGCTTGTTAATGTCGATTGACAAATTTAAGCCTACTACTTACATGGTTGGAGGTAATCGGTAGGAGGCCTTCAACCTAAGTTTTTTAGTTTTTTTTGGCACTCACTAGTCAGCAAATCGTATCTACAACCTTGAGGGGATTCATCCACCTTTGAAGATTCGAAACCGTGTCGCCCAGTTTTCCAGTCAGTGAGGTTACACCATGGAGCTATTAGGGATTCACAATTGACAGCATTGGATTTTTTTTTAATTGTAAATTGGTGAAAAGTGTCTAGTCCTTTGTTTAGTGCAGATTGAATTCTCTTTACCATCTTATAACTTTTCATACAGTTGTGAAGTGTAATCACATGGCAAGAACTGGAATATAACAGTAACATCTCAATCCTCACTCTTTGAGTTGTATAGAAGGTGGGGGCAACAAGCCACTACTCAACAGGCCTTTAAGCATCCTATACTAAACCTACTTGAGTGAACACCACATTTCTAAGAATGTGATCGTCTAACCCGTAATGCATATGCACTAATCACTTCAAGTGATGTGAATTTAAGACTATATCGATTTCTACATATCGACTTCGCCTATCACCTTACGCCTAATCTCTACACGTATATAAGTAACACTCAATCCGCATCATTAATTTCAATTCAGTTGCCCTAAAACACTTCTATGTAGCAGCGCGGTCAGGAACACACAAATTGTGTGAAAGCTAACGGCATTTTTCGTCCGCTTATGAAAAATTAAGTATGGATGGATTCGAACCCGAGATCCACTTACTGGGAGGAAGTAGAATGGTAAAGCAAATGAAACACACATCTTTATACGGTCACTCTTCACTCATACAGTTCTCAGGATTTTAAGAAGGATTTAGTAAGAATTAGACTTGAACTGACATCAATTAGGGGACCGGTCAAAATCCGGAAGAAGTGGACGTCTGTTTCGTCATGATCACACCCACCAGGTATCGAACTCAGGATCTTTATGTTGTGAATTGAGCCTGTTGGTACTATAACTGATCCAACTTGATAATAAAACTTGAGAAAGTAGACTATCAAACTAAAATCATTTACGCTATACGTGCGGTAGTCGTCTATACTGCATCACTCAAATATTTTAGTACATTTGCAAATTCAAAACTTTTTTCTATAGTATTACTCCGTACATTTACTTCACATTATTCATGATTATCAGTGTTCTGCACACACTTGGCTCGCACATAAACTACTATTCAGTACAACATTACAAAAAACAGTAATCACAAACAAAATTTCAGAAAACCTCAGTGATGGAAGGACAACGGTGAAAAGCTTAGTGTTCACCGTACTAGTACGTAACAAAGACACTACAGAAAACTGTTTATGAAAAAAAGTGTCCATCGCCGGCTGACTGACACACTGGTTTCAACAAAAAACTTTGCACAAATATGCTCCAGTTCAAGTTGCTACACTCCTTCCATGAAGAAACACAAACTAAAAGATAACAAACAGAAATGTGAGGCAAAAAGAATAGTAATATGGAGGAAGAGTAGAGTTTTATTGGATATGACAAATCATCAGAAAGAGTGGATGCATCTGCGCCAGCCATTGAGAACGATTGTTTTGAGGAATTTCACCAACTGTCTCCAGCCGCCATTGGTTTTTAACATCCTGAAGACTCCAACCCACCAGGCAGCTTACACCTCCCTACGTGACTGGCTGATTCAAACTAACTGCTTTTGATTTCGTTGACTGATGAAGCCATGTTTTAGTTTGACCAGTACTAGCTCTTTTCCATCCTGATCCATCCCAAGTCAGCTAACATTGTCGGTGGAAGGAGACTATAGTTAGGCATGCGTAACAACACAATGCTTAATCATCTCACTCAATCGATGTAACTTCATAACCTCGCGGATTGATTATTTCTTGTTACCTACCACTCGACGCCTAACCTCAATATCCCTCATCCTATTATACTGACTAACATGGGGGACAGAATGCAGATGTCTACCACTTTGAATGACGATGTTTCACAGCCATAAAGAAGGACGTAGCGAACACTCCTGAGCCAGATGGTCTACGAGCTCGCTTTTCATGCAGCCTGGAGTTCCCGGACTTGATCCCTGGTAGAATCACGAATGTGCACAAATGAAGAGTCCCAAACAAGAACAAAACAACCATCCAGTACCCCTTGGTTTCTAATAGTTCCCCAACTGACGTCAATTCGCGATCAATCTTGAAATCGATTAAATCCCCGCAAAGTGACACTTGAAGAACAAAGTGATTATACACACACACACACACTCACAAACACATATTATTGATGGACACATTGCTAGAAGAGTATGTTGACAAGCATAGGACCAACACAAACTGTGAAATAACTGAAACTGGGGAGAGAAATCAACCAATCAATAAAATTTAAGTTAAAAAAAAACAACCCACTAAGTGATCGTTACCTTCACCTATTTCCACTAATGCACATAAGAACTAAATTCCTTGAGACAACCTTTATACAGTTAATACATTCATTAAAAGATGTAAAGCAATACCAATAAATCTCAACAAAGAATAAACAAAAAAGTGTGTGAACATCTCATTTACCTGAAGTATTTCTAAGTCCTGTAATGCTTTCTGTTCCATAGATATTGAGCATTGTACACAATTGTCATTTACACTTGAAGATGATTTACACATCAACTGTTTAACAGAATCTTCTAAAGTGTTGATACAATAGACAGGATCGCTAAATTGACTCAACTCCTTGTCTTGTTCATTTTGTACTTGTAATTCATAACAAAGTTTGGTAATACGTGTAAATAAATTGCGTAACATTGTAATTTCATTTGTAAGTTGGTTGACATGTATCTATGGTAACAGAAGAGAGTTTCAGTTGTACAATATTAAATATAAAGTTAACAAAACATAATGACAGTATATTCAGATTAGTAATTATATCTTTAATAATAATCTATTAAACTTACTACACTTAATATTGTTTTAATCAGTCAATCACCCTCTTGAATTGTAATGTATTTTCAAGCGCGCATTTCAAATATCTCTCCACCTACTACTACAGTTCTGCATTTTTGAAGGAAGTGAGGGATAGATATTATGAAGTAGATATGGGCTATATATCCAACAAATATATTATGTCAAATAACACACATACTTTCGCTTTTTTTCAACGCTTCTGTACAATAAGTGAATATTTTCTCAGTAAAACACTTGGAGGAGTTTGTTTAAATTCCAACAAAATTACATAATAGATAAATGGTAACAGTACCTAATTATGACAATAGTAGTGACTTTAAATAGTGTTTACACAAAGTCCAGAATTCTGCGTGGAATTTATTGCATACACAGTTCTCTTTTGTCCAGGATCTTCACCCGACCGATAGCTGCTACATTGACGTCGTGGTCGCCGGGCTTGCATACCGCAATGACCCAACAAGCTACACTGTCTGGGACTTATGTTCCTGCAGGTCCTACCATGCCAATAAGGTTGTTAGGATAGCGATTAGACCACAATCAGTTACCGGCATTGTGTAAGATTTCTTCGTTTTACACTATGCTGGGGATCTGTGGAGGAAGTCGTACTTCTGGGGAACAGAGATGTAACAGCAGTAAGGTGTCTCTCTAAGATGACCAGCATGCCAGCCACCTATTCTGTCTCTCCACTCTGGAAAGGCTGATGAACTAACTCCCATCGTCTAGACAAACGTAAAATGAGACTCGAACCTAGAACTTCTTGGATGTAAGCTGAGTATTTTAACCAATGAGCAACATCACTAGAAAAAAGTTGACATCAGTTTTCGTGGGATTTCTGCATATCTGCACACACCTCAATGTATCCTAGTCATGTTAAAAACTTTTAATGACACGAGTCATATATTCAAATTACCTGATCTGTTTCAATTTTTGCCAATAACGCATTCATATTAGTTGCCTCTTGTTGTTGCTGCTGCTGTTGTTCTTCGTCTTGTTGTCTTTGGTATTGTTCATGTTGAAGAGAACCACTTTTCCCTTGGTTCTTTTGTTCCTCTATATCTTCTATATGAATAGTTTGTATTATCTTGTCAACTGATAATATATTTTTTGAATGATTCATCATTGTTTCCACTTGATTTAAACTTTCCGCTTGTAAAATATTTAAATGTTCAATTTGTTTCGACAGGGCATAATTCATTTCATTGGCTGATTTTAATTCTAATTGATAGGCATCACACTGAGAGAAGACAAAAAACAAACAAAAATTATTAATGATGTAACGATTTTGAATTACTGGTAAAGATTTTTGTAACTCGAGTGAATGTTTTCTTTTGATAGGCTGAATGGTTTTTTTTTAATTGAGAACATTTGATTATCATCCTAGACAATATATACAGAGTGGAGCTAGGTATATCGGTCGTTCGACTCGAGGTTTGTCCAACAGGGTGCAAGAACACTGTCCTGCATGGTCATTACGAAGAGGTGGAATCGGAGCAATAAGAAGCGCGATCATTGAACATCTTGTCGATAATGATCACCCTATCTCTATAGTCTCCACCTTTAAAGTCATCTACAAGGCAAAGAGTAATTTACCCAATTCATCTGTATTGCTGAAGCTTTGGCTATCGAAACAGAAAAGCCAGATCTCTATGTACAGAAAAAGTTCCTTCAACCCCTCCAACTTTCATGGTCGTAATCCCTCCCCAATCATATTTTAGCTCTACCAATTTTTCATTTTTTTTCATTTTGCCTATTCATTTTGTATACTCTTCCTTATTAAGTCAAGTGTTATTATCACTATTCTCACTTTGAAATGTCCCCGGTATTATTTCACTTGTTCCACTTGTCATTCTAAATCAATTCTTTTTTACAACGTGAAATTCTATGCTATTAAATTTCACACAATGTTGCGTAACGTTTTATTTTTTATTTTATTCTATTTGCCTACTAATTCTATAACTGCACACCATTTTTCAAGTCGTACCCATCCCATGAATTATTCTATATATGACATCAATTTGCTTTGCCACTTGACATTTAACTACGATTATAATCACAAACATTTTAGTTTTTAATTGCATTTCATACTACTATTATCATTATTTTATGCATTCATACCCAATCAACCCAATCACCAAGGAAGGAAAACAGATTAAACAATGGGCGGACCCACTTCAAAGGACTTTTGAACCGACCATCACCTGAAACCCGTCCAGAAATACCAACAACAGCGCGCACACAACTGCAAGTTGACACCAATCCTCCAACGAGAGCTGAAGTCTTGAATGCAATCAAGCTTCTGAAACCTGAAAAAGCAGCTAGGACCAGATGGAATACCCCCTGAAGCACTGAAAGCGGACACAGAGATGACAGCAAATATGCTGACTCCATTATTGCAAAAGGTCTGGAAGGAGGGAAAGGTGCCTACTGACTGGAGGAAAGGTTACCTCTTGAAACTACCAAAGAAGGGAGACTTACGCCTCACTCTGCAAGAACTGGATCTCACCACTGGATCTCCACCGCCTCATCCGAACTGATAGATGCTAGAAGACTTATTCCGGCGAGCTCCGAATTCAATGAGGAGCGAAAGCTGCACAAGAGGAAACTTACGAAAAGTCTCCGCAAGGACCGTGAACAGTGGTGGGCGACAAAAGCCAAAGAGATGGAGAAAGCTTCGAGGATAGGCAACACCAGGCAACTCTTTGGACTCATCAGGGAAACGGGTGGGAGAAGACAAATCATCAGTGAGACAATCTCGGAAAAAAATGGCACTATAATTAGCTCACAGGATAGACGACTGGATCGTTGGAAAGAGCATTATGAGGAGCAGTTTAATTTGCCCACAGCCACGCTCAACCTTCCGAGCATCCAACACCTCCCTGAATGGGATATAGACACAGGTCCTCCGTCACTAACTGAGGTTACTAAAGCTGTCACCAATCTGAAACTAGGCAAAGCAGCGGGACCTGATGGAATGACGCCAGAGGTATTTAAGTACGGTGGAGACAGCTTACTGTCCGGATTAACTGAGGTACTAGGCAGCGTCTGGGAATCAGAAGAAGTCCCATCGGGTTGGTGTAAGTCACTGATTATCCCCATATACAAGAAGGGAGACAAGTCTTCCTGTGATAATCACAGAGGGATTAGCTTGACTAATATAGTATCTAAAGTCTTAGGCTCAATAATCATGCGTAGACTGAGTGGTGCTCGGGAAGCACAAACACGAGAGAGCCAGGCAGGCTTTAGACCAGGAAGAGGGTGTATTGATCATATCTTCACCCTCCGACAGATTCTAGAACATAGGCATTCCTACCGGCGTCCAACAGTCATTATATTTCTTGACCTAAAGGCAGCATTCGACTCTGTCGATCGGGAAGTTCTCTGGAGATGCTTGGCTGTAAAGGGAATTCCAAGAAAATATATTGCACTGATTAAGGCACTCTACTCGTACTCATACAGCCAGGTGAGGGCTTACGGCGAGCTGTCATCTGAACTGATGACGACCAGTGGTGTCCGTCAAGGATGCCCATTATCTCCTTTTCTATTCAACTTCATCATAGATGTGTTAATGGACTTAACCCTAGGTGACTTCAGCGACTCAGGGATTGACTTGCTACCGGGGAATAATCTCGTTGACTTGGAATATGCAGACGATATAGTCCTTCTAGGCGAAGACGCTGACGAAATGCAGAGTCTTCTAAACACCTTGAGCAGCAATCTACGAATGTTTGGCATGCGATTCGCTCCCGCCAAATGCAAGATGATGTTACAGGACTGGACTACATCGACGCCTAGTTTAAAAATAGGAAGTGAAGTGGTAGAGCACGTTGACCGCTTCACTTATTTGGGAAGTACCATCAGCCCCAACGGGCTGATCTCTGACGAAATCTCAGCACGAATACAAGGGGCTCGTTTCGCATTTGTTAGTTTACGCCGACTCTGGCGTAGACGAGATGTTCGACTATCGACCAAAGGGCGGGTGTACTGCTCATCAGTCCGCTCCGTCCTCCTTTATGGTTGTGAGACCTGGCCACTGAGAGTGGAAGACATGAAAAGACTAGCTGTCTTTGATCATAGGTGCCTGCGTTCTATTTCCCGTGTAAAGTGGCATAATAAGGTGAGCAACATGGAGGTTAGGCGTAGAGTTCTAGGTAAACAGGGGAAATCAATCGACGAAGTCGTGAAGCTACAAAGACTGAGATGGTTAGGACATGTGTTACGTATGCCAAGCCATCGCCTCCCTCGACGAGCAATGTTAGCGGATATAGGGTCAGGCTGGAAAAAAGCTAGCGGCGGTCAAACAAAAACTTGGCATCAGTCAATGAAATCCACAACAGTTGGTCTAAGCCACGTAGAAAGGTGTAGACTTCCAGGCTGGGGTCCTCGGGACGGTAAAAATCTATGGTTGGAAACAATTGGTGACATGGCTCAAAATCGTTCTCAGTGGCGCAGATGCATCCACTCCCTGTGACTTATGATCTTCAATGAAACTGTTTTGTATTTCTTTATTACTCCTTTGTCTCACACCTCTGCTCACTGTTTCTATTATGCTTTTCTTGTACTTTCTTCTCTTGCTTCGCGTGCTACACGGAATGTGGCGACTTGAACTTCCGCACATTTGTGCAAAGTTCTATGTCGAAAACAGACAGACTGCAAGAACTGGCGAGGAATCATGCTCCTATCGACGCCAAGTAAAATCCTGATTCGCATCATCCTGGAGAGAATAAAGGACGCACCGGATGCAGAACTCCGTCCAACCCCGGAACAAGCTGGATTCAGGAAAGGCAAATCATCTTCTGACCAAATTGCAGCTCTACGCATCATCACTGAACAAAGCATGGAATGACAATGAAACCTCTACCTCAACTTTATAGACTTTGAGAAGGCCTTCGACAGGCGTTGACCGCGAAGTAATTTGGAAACTACTCAAGTACTACGGCGTACAGTGCCCCAAATATTCATCAACTTTATTCAACAGCTGTGCAACAACGGCACATGTCAAGTGATCCACAAGGGAAAACTCAGCGAGGCGTTTGGAGTGAACACAGGAGTCAGACAATGATATTCCTAATTCTAGTGAACTGACAGGATTATGCGTCAGACAGTGGGAAACGAGAAGACAGAAATATCCTGGATCGACATGAAGAACCTAGAAGACCTGGATTTCACGCGTGGATGATTTATGCTTGATGTCACAAAAAATAGAAGACTCACAAGCGAAAACCGACAAACTGGTCGAAGAAGTAGCCAGAGAAGACAGGACTCCAAGTGAACATAGACAAAATGGAGGTTATGAAAATAACCAACAAACAACAACAACAGCAGCAACATCCAGCGCCAATCACCAACAACAGGAGGGATTTGAAAGAGCTTACTTCATTCACTTATCTAGGGAGCATTGTCTCAACTACAGGCAGTTGGAACGGACGAGGATTTCAAATCGGGAAGGAAGGCGAGAAACACATTCTTCAACCTGAAACAACCAATCTGGAAATCTCCGTCACTCAGCCAGCATCAACAACAAAATTCGGTCGGATTTTCAATACAAACAACGTCAAGTCAGTCAGTCCCTCTACACGGATCAGAAACTTGGCGGGCGGGTCACAAAGAATATTTCCAACAGCCTGTTGCAGACCTTTATTAACAACTGTCTTCGCTGGCTCTATACTGAAGATCAGATGGCCGGGCCGGAAAGAATCACCAACAAGAAACTATGGCTGGGAACAAACAAAACAAGAACCGATCGCCAACCAACAAATATGCAGGAGAAAGTGGAGATGGTTCGGACACTCGCTGAGGAGATCGCTGGGTGACATCACGCGTCAAGCCCTCGACTGGAACCCGAAAGGGAAGCGGCGTATGGGACGTCCAAGGGTGACATGGAGGAGATCGTGTGAGGAGGAGTTGAAAGATTATGGACTAACATGGATGCAGGTGAAAATTATAGCAGAAGACAGAAGCAAATGGAGACGTGCAGTTGAAGCCCTATGTCCCACTAGGAACCAAAGGGAGCAATAGTAAATAATAATAATATGCATTCACACCTATGATTCAATTCTTAAAAACCATATATATATATATATATATATATATATATATATATATATATATAACTGTACAACTCGATGATAAATTCGTTGAAAAGAGTCTCTTCGCTGAATCCTTTGTTTTGATTTTCTATGTTACAATAGGAATTTTCCATAAGAGTGTAATTTCTCTACCTCGGTGTCCCCACACTGTAAAATCTGTCTGTTATAGTTTTCAGATAATAATATATGCCTTTCATTGTCAACATCTAGGAACACATGGTATATTATAGGAGGATTTAGTGTATTGGTAATACAACTCAAAAGCTCAGATGCATGTCTTGTACACTAAGTTATGATTTAGATGAATTTATCCAAGGATACAAGTATAAAACTTGGGCACTGTCGTGGTAGAGTATAATAACTCCATTATGGATAAAAAACATTTTATTTTGATAAAATCACACACAGTATTTGTTATACAGTAATATTTCCTGATGACCACGTTTCCAGCACAATTTATTGCTGCTCATAATCATATCAAGTCACTCGCTCACACAACTTCCTTGCTCCACTTATATACATGAATAGAAATGTATGATTAGACATTTGAATAAAATCAAAGTAAGATGAGAAAGTACATTAGGAAATAATAAATATTAGTATCATCAATCAAATATAATAAGTTGGAAAATAAGATGTTTTTATAGTAAAAATAAGTAACTTGTTAGAATGTGAATTGAATTGAATACATTTTAACAATATTTATTATCATCCTCCGGTCTGACTGGTGTTGATAATATCTTCCATATCTCTGGTATTTGCATCGAGTCACTTCTATTGCATGTGTTGCGTGTAGATTCACTCGATGAACAAGGATTCAGTAATCAATCCATCCATCTACCTACCTAAATTACTTTCTAAAATTTTTACTCTATCTCACCAACTCCACCACCAGCAGTGGAGTATGACGAGATAGCGGACGGAACGGCAAGAAGCAACCAATAACGTAAAATGAAACCAGGCGATAAACGCTGTGAAATCCGAACAGAGAGTAAAGGGAAAGTATCCAGCACTCGAGATCGGAGACCAAGTTAGGTAGGCGAAACACTGGAGGATACGCAGCAGAGTCACGAGGACTGCTCCCAAGGTGTGAAAGATTATACACGGTCACCATGAGAAAGGGTCACGTATATACCATCCAAAATTTAAACAAAGAGAAGTCGGTGAACGTCAGTGAGCTCCAGAAATAGATACAGCGAGACAAGCAAACGAAGACGCCAGCAGCAACAAGAAGATCGAGCTGACTTCAGTCTAAACTATTTAACGGAGGGACAAGTGTGGTTGTGTGATACAGACAATGTGTTCCAAAGGAATATTATTCTCACAGATACCCACAGTTCAATACGGCATTAGAGAGAGAATACTATACATGCATTTGAACATTCTGTCGCATGTCGTTTGATTTAAGCCAAAATCACACGATCAATAATTGGTTAGAGAATATATAACTGTGCATATATAAGTAGCTGTTTGATTAATAGAAAATAAACTTTGGCTTCCGTGTCTTGTCTTCTGTTGTTACACCTCCATTTACCTAGGAAGCATCGTTTCAACTACAAGCGACAGCACGGATGACGTTATGAAATTCAGAATCGTAAAAGCGAGATAGACCTCCATCACTCTAAAATCAGTTTGAAAATCTTCTGCATTCAGCAAAAGGAATAAAATTCATATTTTTATTGATAACTCAATCGGTTATTCTATATATAGGTCAGAAATTTGGTTGACGCGTCACGAAAATCCTCTCCAACAGGCTGTTGTTGTAGAATTTTATCAACAACTGCCTTTGTTGGCTCCATACTGACGATCGAGTGGTCAGCCGGCGAAAATTAGTATCACGAAACTCTGGTAACCAACGAACCAATCAGAAAATATGTAGAATAAAATGAAGACAGATTCGGTACACACTGAGGAGACTGTTGGTTGACATCGCACTCAATGCACGCCGTCGCTCGAGTGGAACCCGAATGGTCAACAACGAGTTCGGTGTGGGTCCTAGAGTGACAGAGAGGAGATCATTTAGGGAAGAAGTGAGAGACTACGGGCAATCGTAGGGCCAGCTTAAGATGACCACAGAATATACAACAAAATGAAGATGTACTGTGGACACCCTTCACATTCCACCCGGAACCCAAAAGATCAATAATAGTTAATCAATTAAGAATTAACTTACCTGCTTGTTTAGTTCATCAACTTGTTTTTGATAATTTGTCATTGTATTACTCGATTGTTTACATTCAGATTCTAATTGTTGTAATTGTACGCTTAAATTAGCATTTGTTGTAGTCTATGCAAAATGAAAATGTGAATTGCGTGGGCGTATAAAGCAAGGAGAATTAATCAATATTTATTTATTAATATATCGACTTTTTTTAAATAAAGAACAATGTAGATAAATAAATCATATATATATTAATTTGTTTGTAAATTTTTTTTAAATTATTATGTGTGGTGTATAAAATAGGACTCAGTTCATTAGATCAAATTTCTTATTATGTATGAGGTTATGATCCAACCGCGCTTATTATGTGAGGTTGCCTAGGATGAAGGCAGCAGGAAGTTGAATGCTTTAACTAACGATACAAATCTATTATTATTATCATCATCATCAGATTATTCATCCCTTGAGTTCCTCCGATTGGGACATAGGGCTTTACAACAGAAGATTGCCAGTTTTCACTCCATGATCTGCAGTCTCCATTTAGCTAACTGCACGATTCATCCTTCTCACACAATCTCTTCTATTTCGTTTCAAGGAAACAGGGCCAACCTGTCGTTTACAATAGGAGCTCCACTCGAGGGGCTGCAGTGTGGTGGGACGGATCAACGGTATCTTATATTAGCTTATCTGAACTACGTAAAAGAGCTGATCTGATATTGGTAATGATGATCCGGATCTTGTTTTTTTGTGTTGAGTAAAATAGCTTTTTTGACACTGATTGATTTCACAGTGATGAAGTTTTGTTTTGTTTTTAAGATCCTGACCTTGATATTCTCATTTATGCTGCCTATAAATGAAACGATGCTGCGTAAATAGGCGAAAAAGGTAATTTCCTTGAGATTTCACTCGGTTTTGGTGGGGTTGGTGTTTGTTGTATCTCTTTTCTGTCTTCTCTACTTTGACCTGAATTTCTGTCATTATTACCTCTTCTGTTGACTTGTTATGGTTTTTGGCCTGTAGATCTGCAAGTTTGTGTGACATTGGACAATAATCGTAAGCGAAGTCCAAGTCTCCAAGAATTTGTTTGTAGCGGGTTCGATTTGTCTCAAGTTTGATCATGAATTGATATCAGTTAGAAAACCAATAGAAACCAGTGGTTCCATTGAACCATTTCTTTTTAATTTCCTCATAGATGCACTAATAGAATTAACCATAAATGACTTCAGAGATTCAGGGATTGACTTGTTACCACCAGGGAATATTCTTATTGACTTGAAATATGCAGATGATACAGTTTTTGTAGGTGAAGACGCTAACAAAATACAGAATCTTCTGAACACCTTGAACTGCAATCTGCGAATGTTTGGTGTGTGGTTCACTCCCGCCAAATGTAAAGTGAAGCTACAGGACTGGACTATACTGCCTTGCTCCAAGCTTATATATAGGGAGTGAAGTGGTGACTGGGCGTGTTGTTTAATTCACTCGTTTGGGAATTTGCATCAGCCAGCCAAACGGGTTGATCGCTGACGAAGGCTGGTTTTGCATATGCCAATTTAAGCTGTCTCTGGCTTAGTAGACGTGATATTTTTTTATTATAGCTTGAAATCACACACTATTTTTTGGTAGAAGTATGGAATTTTCAGCATATGATATCGGTATCCCAGATTTTGCTGGCCGATCATAGATATCAGGTGTGCGTCGGCAGGAGATCGAATTCCGGACCATGTGCATAGTCGGCGAGAGTGCTAACCACTGTGCTACCGACGCCTGGGATACAAAATTAACCTAGACAATTCACTATCTCTTCCCGTATCCAAGTTATTATTCTCTTCAGATATGCATGAAGCAGAATAGATCCCTTTGGGTTGAACAAGACAGAAGCGAAGAGGTATGGCAAAGAAAAATCTAAATGGTTGTCCATACAAAAGAGACAGGCGTTTTGTCTTCCGTGTTAAGGTGAGTAATAGTGAAATAAAGGCCTCAGTCGACTGCTAGAGGTAAGGAGGGGAAATCAACAGACGAGATTGTAAAGTTACATCGATTGAGATGGCTAGGACATATGTGTTGTTACGCACTCACGCCTAGCCATCGTCTTCCTCAATTGACGGGCTAAGCTAGCTGACGAAAGATGGACCAGGTTGGAAAAGAGCTAGTGGTAGTCAAACTAAAACATGTCTTCATCAGTCAATGAAACCCGCAACAGTTAGATTAAGGCAGTCACGTAGGTAGGTGTAGACTTCTTGGCCGGTTGCAGTCTTCGGGATTGAAGGAACCAATGGCGACTGGCGACAATTGGTAATATGGCTCAGAATCGTTCTCGTGTGATTCATAATATCCAATAGAATTCGACGATTCTTCCCCTTTATACTATCCTTTTTAGCTCACTTACACTTCTGTTTATTATCTCTCGCTTTACTCTCTCCTCTTGCTTTGTGTGCTACTTGGATGGAGAGTGGCAACTTGAACTGTTGCATATCTATGCAAAGCTTTGTGTTGAAACCAGTCAGACAGTCAATCAAAGAGATAAGCTCCAAAATCAACTTTGAATCATAGATGGCAATATTATAGAGCGAAACCAAATTATCGACAATAAAATGCAAAAAAAATAAATAAATAAACATGGAGAGTTTTGATAACACATACCATTTGTGCATAGGAATCCTGCAAATCGGCAATTTGTTGTTTTAAAGTTTTATTCTGTTCCATAGCTCGACTTAAAGCACTGCGTTCCGATGTAGCTGTTGCTAGAACACTGTCACGATCAACTAGTGAAGCTTGTAAACTCTTCACAGTTTCTTGTAGGGAATACAATTGCATAGTTAATCGTTGAATCTATTTATCGGCGCCAGCGTATAACACAAAGACACAACATAAAGGAAGCGAGAGAATTGTAGAAATTAGATTGAATCGTTGAGAAAATATTTTTACAATGGTTTATTACATAATGACAATCAGTCTAATTTGATATGAAAATACAGGGGGGATGGGGGAGAAGTAATCATGTAAGACTTCAAAAAATAGTTAGACAACTTGTTCCACCACTGTGAACATGCATTCTGAGGAGTTAGGTAGAAAGCTACTCACGAGAATTAGTAAGTAGTATATTGTGTGACATCATCCACATTCATCTTAGGGATTCGTTCACCACTTCTAATTCAATATTAACTATGTCGTTGCCTTCACAAGCTTGTTCACAATCATCAGTCAACTGGGCTACATTCACTAAATGCAGCTGATAGATGATTGCAGTAGATCAACATTCACAAAAACTTAAAAGCTAGTAGTGGTATTTGCGAATCTTCGTCTTGTATGGGTAACGTGAATCATAGAAGACTCGTCAGCGTTATGACCGAAACCAATGGATAGACACCTTGATAAAGCTTCAGGTTCCTAAACTACTGTAATGTCAGGCTGTCAATTTCCACAAATAGTCAGTCAACGACCATCTTCAACAATGCCTCCCCGTTAGTCTCTTATGAAGTGTCATAGGAACCTTTCTTCCCCCCCCCACCACCACCACTTCCGACAGTAGTTCATAGGGTCCCCAAAACGACTAGCTCCTGAACGTCGATAGTTTTCACTACAGATTCAAAGTCCGTCAGGAACGTTCTTAGATCTTTTTTTCAAAGACTTTCGGCCACAACCCCTTACTCAAGATTTGTGATATGAAACAAAACCTTAGTCGATATTTTCCACCAACATAATAATTCGAAATTGCGAGTCAAATAGAAAATGAACTTATCTAGTGCTAAATTGTTCAGTTGGTTGGTTGACAATAGCTAAAGAGGGTGTTAACTAATTCTACAAAAGAATGGTTACTGAACAAAGAATATTCTTTTCGATAATGCCTTCATCATTAGGTTCTATAATTATATACACATAATAGTGAATAGTTATGTTGACCGTTGCTCTTGGAACTTGATTTTTCGTGCCCGAGTATGGATAAGTAAAGATGGAGTAAAAACCATCAAAAGTTTGATATTAGACTATCTAGTCCAAAACGGACACACAAAGCCAGTATTGAAGAATCCTCCTCTATCATCTATCGAGTACCAAATAAATTGTCAAAAGCACCCAGGTACCCCATATTCCAAACAGCAGAGGCAATCGCAATTCGCCTTGAACATCCGGTACTCTATGTGCAGAAGAAGCAATTCCAACCGGCCGATACTACTGCCCTGATCGACCTTCAGTTGAGACTATAAATTCATGAATTTGTAGTATTATCTTTCTTAACTTTTCTGACATTCAGTTTATTTTTATATTGATGCTATTGAACTGTAATTTACCAATATTATTGATTCGATGTTATTTAAACAACATTATTGTTGTTCATAGCACTAATTCATTCATTCACTACTATTATGTATATATAACTGTAGAACCTGATGAACAAGAGGTTATCAAAAAGAATATTACTTGTTCAGTAGATAGTTTTTTGAAAACTTTTAATGGGCATTTTAATCATTTAACTCATTAATTAATTAATTAATTAATTAATCAGTTAATTACATGAAATAGAAAGATACATTAATAACCAATCATATTTCAATAAGTCAAGTTTTAGTTCAGAGTAAACAGAACTTGAAATCGATTATTTTCTATCAGTAAGTGGTTAACCGCCAACCAGTGCTCCCCTGAGTGTATGCGCTACTGACAACAACTTATAAGTTGCCTACTGATGAAGTCTCCGGTATGAATCTTCAACAATGAGACGATGAAGTCAGTCACAAAGAGAAGAAATGAAGATCATTGTGAATGGCTCATGTGGCAGAATGACGGTGGTACGTTGGTGGTACAAATACAAAAAACCTCCAAAGAAACTTCATTTTCCAAAAGTTACGTGTATTCTGTTTCTTTTGTCATTCACCAATCAGGTAGTGCATTCTCTTGGCGCTTCACAATCATCTTCATTCCTCTGCTTTGCATTTTGATCTATCCTCTCTGCAATCGAACATTCTTGCAGAAGACACAAGCACCAATATACTACTCACAAAATCTAATCAGTAGCGCACACGCTGTACACCAATCTCCTTCAATAACCTTTAAATTGGAATTATCTCAAAGAACTGAGAAACCATTATGAACACTGACTTTATTCAAGTATTGGTTTTTAAGGATTTGATTGCTTTCAGGATTTCATCATGAAGTGACATCGGTTAGAGGACCATTGGAAAACCTGGTGGGAGCACTGGACAGCTATTTCGCCTTAGGGTTTTGGACTCCTCAGAAGTACGCACCCACCCACAGGGTTCAAACTCATGCCCTTTTGGTTACAAGGCGAGGCAGCTCGTAGATCATTAAGCTACTAAGACCCAATCCAAAGGTGTATCAATGAATTCCAACTTTTGGCAATTCATGGCATAGCACGATCACTAGCCAATGTCCTCACACCCGACCTGACTTTATAACGTAGACATCAATGTTTACATTTTCTATTACTGAATAACTATTTAGGAACTTCTAGAGACAGAATGACATAGAGTCATCAAACTATTTAATTCAAATTGGACTTTCTTGCTGATTAATAAACCGACAAGATAACATATCGGCTCCTTGTGCGAATCGCTTCGATGATTTCTGATTATTTAACCTGAAATAAACTGCTGGATGGTGATTCACTGAGAGAATGCAGCTACATGCAACTGAAAAGTCCCAAATAGGACAAAAAGCGGCACATCCTGGATTCTACTGCTTTTCAGCATCCACCAATTCTCATTACAGTCAATAAACGTTCGTTCTTTATACATGGATACAAAAACGGAAATGTTTGAACGTTTAAAAGAAAGATAATGCGCGGAATAGCTTAATAAAGCCTTTGAATTGTTGAGTCAATCGTCTTCCAGTAGTACTGCGGTGAAGATAACTTCTCGTTTTAAAAGGGTAGTTGATTCTATTTTCTACGACTGACTCCCACACAGTATGGTTTTTCTTCAATTTTCAACAATTAACCATGGTTAAATCAAGAAAACCGCATGTATTATTTAGCCATTCCGCTATACACTCCTTTGTATTACAACAGAAAGGAACACGTGAATTCCGCCGAGTGAAACCAGAGGGTGGGTGAAGTGGACGAACGCATGATAATATTTGATTCGAACAAAAAAGCAATAAAAATAATAATAATAATAGTGTTTTACCTCAGTAGTTGAATTATCCAATTCTACAGTACGATGTTTTAGCTGATTTTCAAGTGATTCTATGCGTTCAATGGATGATTGATCGGATGTTGATATTGATGAGGATGCTGCTGGTGTTATTACCACCACATCAGATTTTTCATTATTCCCATTAGGCGATTGAGTTTCAACAACAGGCTGTGAAGTAGGCTGTATTATTTGAACTGAACTTAAACGACAAGCTGATGATAATGATGATGTGTATAGAAGAGGGAAATAAAAGACAGCAAGGTGAATTCTCTCTCTTATCAATGCATGCATTCATTATCATTATTATTCTGCTAAACTAAGAAGGACGCAAAATTAATCAGTTCGTTTTGTACAAGGGAAATGCTTAAGTCGAATGAGAATAAATTCCGACTATGGATGTATATTATTATTATTTCCTTTAATTCCTAGAAGAACATAGGGCTTCAACCGAACGTCTCCATCGCGTTCGGTTCTCTGCCAACGTTTTCACCTGAAACCACATCTGCCCACAAACCCTCATCTCTTCGCATGACCTCCTCCTTCGTGTCACCCTCACACTGACGACCAATTCGCCGCTTCCCTTTCGGGTTCCATTCGAGGACTTATCTAATAATGTCACTTGATGGTTTGATTTCTCAGAGTATGGCCAATACACCATCATCAGATCCTGCATATTTCTTGCATAGTCGGTTCCTCCTGGGTTGGTTCGTTCCCAGAGATCCCTGTTGCTAATCTTTTCTGGCCGGCTATCTGATCCTCAGTATTGAGCGAATACAGCTGTTGATGAAGGTCTGTAGTTTGTTTGAGGTGCTCTTTATGACACGACAAGTCTCTCATCCGTATAGTGAGTAGCACTGACTTCACATTGGAGTTGAAAATCCGGATCTTATTTTTCACTCTGAGGAGTTCTGTTGACCTCCACACAGACTTGAGAGTAATGAAAGCTTGTCTTGCTTTCCCGATCCTCTTTTTGATATCCTCGTCAGTTCCGCATATTGTTGAGACGACGCTTCCCAGGTTGGTAGGTAGGTAGGTGAAGGAAGTTTTTCCTTTCAGGTTTCTCCCATTTACGCTGGCTGATTGTTGTCTGTTGTTGTTTTTGTGGCTGTTGCTGTTGGCCAGGAATCTTCAACATCTCTGTTTTTTCTATGTTCACTTGAAGTCCTATCTTTGATGCTTCTTCTGCCAACTTGTTGCTTTTCACTTGCATATCTCCCATTTTGTGGGAAATCAGACATATATCATCGGCGAAGTTCACATCCTCCAGGTTTTGTATGTCGGTCCATTTTATGCCCGTTTCCTCGCTGCCTGCCGATGTCTGTCACATTATCCAGTTTACCGCAATGAGTAAAATCATTGGTGATAATAGGCAGCCTTGTCTTATTCCCGTCTTTACTTCGAAGGATTCTATAAATTTCCCGTTGTGGATTACTTGGCATGCAGTATTGTCGTACAACTGTTGGATGAGATGTGTAATTGTCGGCGGCACCCCATAGTAGACTATGGATGTGGCTAATTTTTATTGTCTATTGGTATTACTTACGGATTAATTGAAATACTGGAACTATCTAGAATTGATCTAACTACATCCCATCTATAATGCACGACAGTATGTTGAAAGTATTGTACATTTTGTTACATTACGCAATGGCCGACCACGAAATTAGGTCCAGGGTTCGATCCCCTCCTGGTGCACTCATTTACCTCACCTAGTCGGTAGCTATCGCGGTAAAGAGGGAAGGCTGGACATGAGACTAACAAACAACCCTGTCCATTTAAAAAGAAACGCAACTGCTGCAGGAATTTCAAAGCCCTAGCTTAAAGTCTCCTATGTTCCAGTGGGAACGCAAAGAAATAAAGCAGGCAAGTTATGCAATACACGGTTTTCACTATAACGACAACCTGCTGTTCACTAATATGACACTCACAGAAACTTCCACACGATACAATAGTTGTGGCGTAGACGTATGTCTGTTTAAACGAGCACTTGTCGGCGTGTATATTCATGTTCACTTTAGGTTCGACAATAGGATATAAATTCAATCGAAGGATTGTGACAAAATTACTAATGAGACTACACAACTGACAGACTGCTTCATGTCAGGAAGGAACACTGGTCAATCTCTTCAAATCACTGAACAATTCGACTCTGGACACTAACCTTCACCTTACACAGAAGAAATAAGAATGAAACATTCCTTTCTTTCGCATGATTCTCACCAGGCATAATAACGTATTCTTCTAAAAATCTGTTACGTCCGATAATTTGACCTAGTAGACTGCAAGCTATAAGAATCCAATGTGCTAACGTAAACTATCCCAACCGCCAATCACGATGCCATGAACAATACTATCGGCAAGAAGCCAAGACGGACTGCTGACAGAGACCTTTCATAGTTGAAGAAACTGGCAGCGGCGCTATATATATATATATATTACTTTGGGAAACACTGAATTCAACGATAAGTTTGAAGAGTCAGTAACCAACGTGTTTAGTCCTCACAAAAGACCGTATGAATGCGTGAAAGTAGAAACATAAAGTTAAATTAAGATTATAGGCATATATCAAGAAATAATAATACAAAATAAGGGGTACATAACAATATACGAGTACGCATATGCGCGATTGCTGAACAGAAGATTCTTTCACTGAATACCTAGTTACCGCCTCAAAAACTTCACCCAAGACAATCATAGAATTATCTAATTCAATTTGAGCTTTCCTATTGATTGACTGGACCGAAGTGCTCGGTGTCAGGGAAATGCAGCTGATGAGTACCAAATAGGACGAAACGTGCATCTTGAATTGCCCTACTAGTTAACATCCACTAATTTACAATTACATTATGTTATAGGGAATAACATGTGTAATGCAGCTCAACAGTCACTTGCAGTTTCATTCACTATGCAACAGTGACCTCCTTAGGATGGCCGGTAAGGCTTATCTAACCTGCTTAACTGCAGTAGGTCGACGCAGTAGGGCGCTTTGACAAATCAAACACAGCTCTGTAACCATCGAACCTGAAATAATGTGTGACTCACAACTAACAGTACGAACTACTAGTGTAACAACAGAAGACAAGGGGCAGGCAACAGATCGTTTTACTACGGAAATCAACACGTATTTATATAAATTTCACATACATTATTATAGCCTAGTCAAGTAGACAAACGCAGTCTTCTGATTAGTTGTTTTCGAGTTCCTCGGACGGAACGTGGAGTCATCTATCTGCGAATCATATTTGCCCACGTTTAAGTTTGCTGTGATTGGTTGTTGAAACAGCCTTGTTCATATTTTCTCACAGCCCATATTAGTGACCTAGACATTGACGTAGATTAATGTCAACCAATTGGCTAGCAGGCTGCTCTCACCACACTAGTACGTATTTGCCCAGAAAAGTTCACACCAAAACAGCATAACGTTGACGAGCAGGCTATTTGTTGAAACTGTCTTGAATGTTTATATATTGGACAGAAATATTCGATATGTGTTGACATGACCCAATGACCTGATGGATAACGGTCTGATTTTTTCTGTGTCCAAGTCACAATAAGAACACCATCACATTGAGTAGGTGAGGGGGGGCAGGCACATCTCTAGGTATTGAGTGTCTAAAATAGCGAAAGTGGCATCCTGGACTACACTGCTGGTCTTCACCAACTATAGTAACATGAATGAATAAGTCTTGGCAGTAATGTGATGAGGTAGGCAAGAGTGAAGAGTTTCACATTGAAATTCTTTACTTATCATCATTAACAGGAGAAATTTCACAGAAGTCACTTCTTATACCATTTACTTGACCATGGGTAGGTATCGCTTCAACTACAGGCGGTACAGATAAGAAGATCAAAGATAGAATTGGGAAAACAAGACAGACCTTCACAGCTTTAAAATCAGTGTCCTGCGCTTAGCATGGGGAACAAGATCCAGATCTTCAACGCTAATGCTAGGTCAGTGTTTCTATATTGTTCAGAAACTTGACACGTCACCAAAAGCATTTCCAGAAGATCGTGGACTTTCATCTACAGCTGCCTTCTCTCGATACTAAACAACAGATGGACAGAAAGGATCAGGAAACTGGCATTCTATCAACGGACAAACCAACAACCTATTGCCCAACAAATATAGTGGAAAAAATAGAGGTAGGTCGGAAACACGCTGAACAGACCTCTGGGTAACATCACACGCAGCGACATTCAGGCCCTCGAGTAGAACTGGAGTGGGGAACGACGTGTTTGACGTCTTGGAATGGCATGAAGACGGGTAATCCTGTAGTCAGATAAAAAGGGCTACAGAGAACAGAATCAAATGAAGATGCACTATGGAAGCCCTATGCTCCACTAGGAACTCAAGGAAATAATAATATTATTATACTTAATTAATATAGAAAGGAGTAAATTCAAATTAAGCACACTTCGATCTAATTAATCGATAGGAAAATCTAAATTGATTTAAATAACTAGTACGACCCGTTGCATAAAAGGCGGCTGGCATGGCCCATGTGGTATAGTGCATAACGTTTTGGCGTTTGAGACTATAGGCAGTGCGTTCGAACCTCGGTGGGAACACTATCACTCACTGATGAATACAGGTACATCTGTGGTAAGAGCTGTCTGCTAGCCAAAATTGGTAGACAGCAATTTATGTCAATATTTACGTCCAAAATCTTGGTTATGAGAAAAGAACAAGAACAAAGACTAACTCAACAGCCAATCACAGAAGGCTTTGCGTGGGCGGATATGATTCGCACATATATGGTCTGACCTTGAAAGAAATGGCCACAAAGAGATAACAAAATAACTTTCAGCATGAAAACAACCAATCAGAAGACGCTGTTTCTCCGCTGACAATAATGTACATAAAAATCTATAAATATGTTGATTTCCTCAAAAAACGATCTGTTGCCTGGCCCTTGTCTTTTGTCGTCACACATCCAGCTGATAAGTCCCAAATAGGACGACATGAGTATCCTAGATTCGGACTGTTGGTCACCATCAACCAATTGACTTCAATAATATAATAAATAGATTGTGTAAGCTTAATATTAGTGCCAAGCAATAAGATAAATGATTAATGAACAAAGGAGATACACACATACATACGTGCAAACATGCATATTACTCACTTAGATCATTAATTTCATCATCTTTTTCACGTAATTTTCTATTGACTGATTCTAATGATAATTCTAATTCTTGTTTTAATTTATTCGTCTCTGATAATTGTGTACGTAATTCATTCGACTGTTGTTCAACCTAAGCATAAAAATTAATTTATTTGTAAAATATAAAAGATAATAAATATCAGTTATAAAAATGTTTCATCAGTTATCAACCGTTTGGAGTATATTTCATATATTCACAGTTTAAAAGCAACCTAATCTATACCCATCCCAGCCCACCTCCTAATTGTGCCTAATTATTACTATGTATTACCTTAATTTGACTTTATTTCTCTGTTTTCGCGCGCTTATGGCACCATTTCGTTTTTCTACTTCTTTTCGAAGGCCGTAGTATCATTGATTGTTGATTTTAAATTCGACGGTGAATTCAATGTCTGCCAAGGTCATTTGGGAGATACATTCTGGAAATTGTTGTCAAAACACCTTTCAAACAACCAAACGTAACATTTGATATAACTGCAGTAATCCTCTAAGCAGGTAATTTTATTTATTTAAACACAAAAACCTGGTACAATACGACATCAAGAAGATGCGCCACACAATAATGATGATAAAACATGTAAGATAAAAAGTTAAAATATAATTAGAGAACAGCTGAATTACTTCATCTGGAAGGAAAACAATCATCCTTAACAAGTTCAAACAGTGTTCGTTGATGATTTTCGAAAAGGAAACAAAGAAAAAATGGCAGCACGTTCGACATTGATTACGATCCTTGGCCGAATTCAATAACGTTTCGAGTCATCGATTAGAGACATTTCTGGCACTCCAACCAACGAGTCGTGATACACCAACCGATGCTAATCTAGCACAAATATCCTTCATCCCATTACACCATGTCATGGCCTGAACACCTCTCTGCCTTTCCCATCCCATCCCACGGCTGGCTAGCAAACAGAGAGCTGTTCGAAAGCCTCTTCGATAGCATTCGCAACACATGTCCAAGCCCCTGGAACCGGTGTTTCCAGATGACATCACTCAATGAATAGTGTTCTCCACTGTGTTCAAACATACGCCAACGAACTTCAGAATTACTCACACAGTGAAACCATCGAACGCAAGCAATTCTACGGAGACAGCGATGATCGAATACACACAGCCACCACACATCTTCAGCTCGGAGAAGACAGGTTTCACAGACGTAGAGCAAGATATCCCACACCGACGCATTGTATGCCCGACCGCTGACAGCCAGGACAATGTCGCGACGGCACCAGAGGTGAATCAAATGTACTACCCTAGCTTTCATGATACTGTTGGAAATATCATCCGTCAAGCCTCTACCAGCACTCACACAACCACCCAGATACACGAACTTATCGACAACTCCAAGCGATTCACCCTCCAGATAAGGTCTCCTGCCAATCATGGAACAGTACTTTGCACTTTAGACAGCACAATGCACTCACCATACATACAAACACTGATCGCCAACTGATTAAGTGAGATTTACGCAGCCTGCATGCTATCGCACGGTAATACGACATCATCTGCACACTCGAGATCGAAAAGTCTCTCCAGGGAGCAGATCTACACCACCCTCACGCACATCCTTCAGAGCTGACTCCAATATGACATCAATGGCAAAGTTTAAGAGAAATGGGGAGATTGGGCAACCCTGTCTAAACCCACTATTGGTTGGGAACAGTGATGATAGTTGGTTGTATGCCCTCCCTCTATCTGAGTTGGTTCTGCATATGGCTTTCAGGATGTTGACAAACTTCTCAGATACACGCCCTCTCTATCAGACAGTTCCAGAGCACAAATCTGTCCAACGAATTGAAGGCAGCCCTAATGTCAAGAGACACAGTGACTGTTGGCTAGCAATACGTGTGGTGGTGTTCCAAAAACTGGCGAAGGGTGAAGATATGAGCTTTTACTGTCTCGAATCAATAGCTAAAAAAATTGACAGCAGTTGCGTTCATATGCGCCTTAACTAGTCTTGAGAGAGAGTAATTACACTGACAGATTAAAAAGTCAACAACCAATAGGGTTCCAAGGTCATTAGTGTGGGGGTTGTAGTGGGATTACAAGTGGATAAATGTAGTATTTTAGAAAAATTAGGTTTATAATAACAATGTCCCATTTTCATACATTTTACTAGTCAGTGTTGCCTTCTTACCTTCTCCACACTTATCAAGTGGAAACGTCCGCCAGCTGTACTTCCCCATTTAATAACAGTTTTCAACTTATCAAATTTCATAATCTTACTTCTGTTGTTACCATCGTTTGTTACATAATTTCTTCCTATCTTCGAAAAAGCCTCCAAAGCCTCAGTATAGTCGGGAGTGGGTGCCTTGCGCTGCGGGTTGGCCACCCCTCCGTACACCTCTTGAAATGCTCCCATATGACCGGGCGTCTTACATAGCCTCTCCTGAGGAAGTCCTACTCACTGCCTTCACGTGGCGGAGGTGTTTTTCACCGAAGTGAGAGGGTAAAAGCGGATGCCCGGCGCTCTTCACCAGGTTAACTGTCCATTGGATGACAGTCTAGGGGAGATGGCTAAACCCTAATTTCAAACCTCCAACGACTGGCATATGAAGCTCACCGGCAGACGTGTGGACAAAGGGCTTATTGGATGCCCTGTAAGTCTGGCCCCATTCAAAAAGGCGTATGAACCGGACTCCGGTCACCGGCTGCCAATGGATAGTGGACTCCCTACTCCACTCCTACTGCCTTGCAGGTCACACTTGGTTGTGTAAAGGCTAGAGCTGCACTCTCAAAAAAAAGGCCGAGCGATGCTGGGGACATCACTCGTACCCAATTCCCATGAAACTTCATAAACTCTTGTTCATGAAGCCGGCTCATCCTCCCGTAGGAGATAGCCGAAGTAAAGTAAGTAAGTATCTTCGAAAATCACATCTGAGTAACTATATCAGTTACACCACATGCCCAAATCACCCAACGACACACTGTCATACATTAGAATATCGTGGCAAGCCAAAATTTGAGACAGCAGTTTACATCAATGTTACGTCCCGAATCGGGGTCATGAGAGAAAAAACAATAACGAGGCTTAGCCTTGAGGAACTCACCAACCAATCATAGCACACTTAACGTGTGCAAATACCATTCGTATATATATGGCTTAACTTTCTGAGAAACTGTCACAAGCAGTACAGAATAACCTTCAGCAAGACAACAACCAATCAGAAGACGTTGATTCTCCGCTGACAATAATGTACATAAAAATCTATAAATATCCGTTGATTTTCTCAACAAAGTATCTGGTGACTGGCCCTTGTCTTTTGTCGTTACAATATGATAAATACGACTGTATAGGCTATGAGGGCGTCGGTGGTACAGCGGTTAGGACGCTCCCCGATCATTCACATGTTCCGAGGTTCGACGCCCGTCCGACGCACACCCAATATCAATGGTGGGCCTGCAAAATTTGGGCTAACGATATCATATGCTAAAAATTCATTCCATACTTCCATCAAAAATATTGTGTGGAGTCAAGCTATAATAAAATTAGATAAAAAATTATCGACAAATAAATTACAAAAACCAAAATGAAACAAACCTGTGCAACATAATTTCGATATTGTGATTCTAATCGTCCTTTCTCTGTATCAGCAGACGATAGAGATAATTCAAGCTCTTTCAATCGATTCTGTAGATTAACACGCTCTGTTAACCATTCTTGTTGATGACGATAGCTTTCATTCTCAATACTGGCTAGACTTTCTCCAGTACTGCCTAATTGATTAGCATATATCTGAAGAAGAGGAAGAACAGAAGAACAGAACAGAATGAAACGGAGAGAAAAAACACCCATTGGAGATCAAACTTTCTAATCCTTTATGAATTGGTTACAGGATTTCATCATGAGCTGACACAGGTTAGAGAACCATTGGAAAACCTGCAGGGAGTACTGGACAGCCAGTTGTCTCGTCCTAGCACTTAGGACTCATCATCACTACGCATCCACCACAGGGTAGTTCGAACCCAGGACCTCCCGGTTACAAGGCGAGTCACCTGGTATACCATTTAGGCACTGAGACTCGATCCAATGGCCAGTATCCATGAATTCTAACTTCTGCCAATTCACGACATGGCACGACCACTAGCCAGCGGTCTTCGGTGAGTATTTGTCCTCACACCCGACGTGCTGCACCCTACTGGTCACGAAACTAGGACGAAACAGCTGTCCAGTACTCCCAGCTTATTTTCCAATGGTTCTCTAACCAATGTCAACTCATGATGAAATTCTGTAACCAATCAACCAAATCCCTACAAACCACCAATACTTGAATACTTTTATGAATTATTTATTCTGATCTGTTTTTCCCATGAACCGGACTGACTGACTGACTGACTGAGTCAATGAGTGAGTGAGTTTCAACAGAGAACTTTGCACAAAAGTTGCAGGACTTCACAAGTTGCCACACACCTCATGTAGCACACAAAGGTAAAGAGAAAAGAGAGGAGAGATTCAAAAGGGTCGTCGTTAGGAGCATCCAAAGGACACCCCCCACACACACACAATCCTATCATGCAGTCTACATTACCTGTATGTGAATTAAATCAACTGTCAAAGATTTCATCATAGACTGATGTCAGGTTTGAGTCTGACATGTGGTTTATTGTGCTAAGAGCACTTGACTTTTTTATTCAGAAGGTCTTAGTGGGGGTTCCGCTAGGATTGCATCCCGCTAACCTCTCCCTGGTCTGAATGACTAGACAAATAGTGTCATTATCCATCGGCACATTATGTGTGTGATTCATTCATGAGGATTTTATACCGTGTAACTCAGTTTTAACTTGCTATACCTCCCCCCCACTTAGTCTGGACTGGCAGACTGGCTTCAACGTAGAACTCTGCACCGATGTGCAGCAGTCATAGAGGCCGCTCTTTCTCTCTACGTAGTACACAAAACAAGAGAAGAGAGTAAAGAGAGATTCAAAACAGAGATAATATACAGAAATATGAGGCAACAAGAATAGTAATATGGATGAACAAAGAATTTTACTGGATATTATAAATGACAAAGAGTGAATGCACCTGGGCCTGCCATCCAGAACAACGATTTTGCACCGTATCACCAATTGTCTCCAGCCTTCATTGGTTTTTACTATCCCAAGAAACCCAACCAGTGAAGAGGTCTACACTTCCTTACGTGGCTTGAACTAGCTGTTTTCGATTTCATTGACTGATGAGGCCATATTTCGGTTTGACCACCAGTGACTCTTTTGCAACCTGATCCTATGTAAGCTAACGTGACTAACATGAAGGAACGTGATGGCTAAGCATACGTAGCACATGTTCTAACCACCTCACTCAATCCAGGTAGTTTCAAAACACGTCGATTGATTTCACCTCCTTACCTAGTGCACTCAACCGATGCCTAACCTCAATATTGTTCACCTGGAACAACTGACGCATTCAAATTACTGAGCAACAACATTTAAATAACGCAGAAGACAATAAACGAGAAAACAAGTAGCCAACTTCATATATACCTTGGATATTAGAACAAGATAGAATTTTCTGCTCAACAACCCACCCAATGAGCGTTTTTGTATACACAATAAATTTTTTTGGCTTACCTGTGATAATTCAAGTTGTTGTTTTAATTCATTTAGACTAATTCCCATTTGAGCTAATTCACACGATTTAGCTGTCAACCGTGAATTGGTCTCTGATAATTCGTTTTCAAGATTTTGACGTGCACTTTTCTCGCGTTTCAAATCCACCTGGAGACGTTCAACCTGCAGTGATCACGATGATGATGACAAGAATGAAAGAAGAAAAAACACAACAAACCCAAGACATAAGAATAGTTGAAATGAACGATTTTAAGTGAAAATGTCAATCCTCATATTTATTTTTTTTATTTTCAACTTTTAATTACAGCTTGATTCCACACCGTGTTTTTGGTACAAGTGTGGAATTCTCAGCATGTGATATCGGCAGCCCAAATTCAGCATGCCGACCATAGATATCAGGTGTGCGTCGGCAGGGGATCGAACCTCGTACCATGTGCATGGTCGCCGAGAGTCCTAACCACCGAGTGTTACCGATGCACAGCTGCTGTACACCAGTAGTACACAGGTAGAATGTTGGCTAATTACACACCTGGTCTTCCAGACTTAATTCCAGGCCAACACACTCCCCAAATCTCGCTTAGCCAGGAATAAAGCCCAGTAAAGAAGGAAGATTGAGTGTGAGTGTAGCCTTATCCCATTAAGATGACACTACCGTGACTGCAACTTGAAAGCTTCAGCTCCCAGCACCTACGTTCCACTCGAGATGCAAAGGAATTAAAAAAACCTACTTGCATAAAACTATTTACTGCTTATTGAGTAAGGTGAGTACACTACTCGAATCAACCAGTAGCTTCATACATTTGGTTGCCATGATAAATTTCGATAAAGAAAGGAAGACGATATTCGCAGTATAAAATGATATCATCATTCTATCTCAGAGGTTCTCATCAGCTGCACACCACTACCTGAAATTATAATGGTTATATAGATGATGATAATAATAGCACACTTTAATGTTTAAGTGATAGTAGAGAAGAGAGAAATACTATGAAATTAACGCATCCAAAATGTAAGCATTACAATTTTTAATTCAAGTTTTCATTATCAATTTATACCAATGGTTGGAAACAATTAGTGATATGGCTCAAAATCGTTCTCAATGACTGGCGAAGATGCATCCACTCCTTGTGACTTATAATGCCAAATGAAACGATATTGACCTTCGTTATTACTATTCTTTTGCCTCACACCTCTGTTTACTGTCTCTATTATGCATTTCTTCTGCGTGTTCGATCGTCGCTGTCTCCGCAGGATTGCTTGCGTTGGACTGCATCATCGCTTGAGTAATTCTGAGGTTCGGTGGCGTGTGTCTGAACACAGTGGAGATCACTATTCATTGAGTGTCGTCATGTGGAAACACCGGCTCCGGTGGCTTCAGCATGTGTTGCGAATGTCATCCCAGAGGCTTCCGTTCAGGTGTCTGTTCGCTAGCCAGCCCTGGGACGGAATGGAAAAGGCGGAGAAGTGGTGGTCAGTCCATGACGTGGCATCTTGGGATGAAGGATTTTTGTGCTAGATTAGCGTCGGTTGGTGTGTCACGACTCCCTGGTTAGGGTCCGCGAGATAGCTCGAATCGATGGCTCGAAACATTATCGGATATGGCCAAGAATCACAGTGATCAATGGCGAACGTGTTGCAATTTTCTTCTTTCATTCCTTCCCGATGATAGTTAACGAATACTGCTTGAACCTGTTAAGCATGACTGTCTTCCTTCCAGATGAAGTTCTTTATCCGTTGTCTACCTCTATTTTTTTTTACCTTTGATCTATGTTGTTTTATTATTATTGTGTGGCGCATCTTTCTTGGTGCCATATTGTACCAAGTTTTTTTATGCGTTGAAATAAATAATAAATAAATAATGTACTTCTTCTACTTTCCTTTCTTGCTTTGTGTGATACATGGAGTGTGGCGACTTGAACTGCCGTACATCGTTGCAAAGTTCTATGTCGAAAACGGACAGACAGACAGACAGATGCTTTCAAAGTAGAAAAGAGGGGGGGAGAGTTAACAAACAGTGTTAGCTTGTGAGTTCACATAGCAACTCAAAAAACAAAAGCGGTTACAGTTTATGAGATTGACATCCGCTCAGTGAGTTGAGATCACTGAATTAGATGACTTATTAATGCAATCAGAGTTAAAATTCAGTTACCAATGGAGTGAGAGATAAATCACTCTCTCTTTCTGTAGGCATAAGTCTGATTTAAATCGTTTGATTCCCATCGCTTCGGCAAATCGTAGTAAATTTGTTGTCCTTTGAGCTGTTGTGTGAACCTACAAGCTAACACTGTTCTATTTCTTAATTTCTTTCTATTCTCTGTCTTACCCCTCCCCACTCCTTTCTACTTTGAAAGCGTATAAACTGATGATGAAAACTTAAACTAAAAATTGTAATTCTTACATTTTGGATGCGTTAATTTCATAGTATTTCTCTCTTCTCTACTATCACTTAAATATTAAAGTATGTTATTATCATCTATATAACCATTATAATTTCAGGTAGTGGTGTGCAGCTGACGAGAGCCTGTGGAAAAGAATGATGATATCATTTTATACTGCGAATATCGTCTTCCTTTCTTTATCGAAAACAACCAAGTAGTTCTTGCTGGCTAGCCAGATGTAGGTGATCTAATCATCACCGGACGGTTGTTACGCTCGTATGGGGTCGAGCTCACCGGTAGCATAACCGATTTGATTCGAATCAGGGAACCGAATCAGTTCAAACCAACCGATTTCGATGTATTTCACTTGGACGAACTGGTGTTACCATAAATCAAATTTAAGGTTGATATACAACTACCCATCGTAGTCAGTCGGTAGTATATAGCCTTATGTAAACATATTTGCTCTCTTGATTACCAATTATTGGAAGTGCGTGGTTAACAAAAATACTACTATGTTGAGAGGTGGCTGCAAGCCAAAACTGTAGACCACAATTTACGTCAACGTTACATCCCGAATCGAGGTCGTGAGAAAAAAAACGATAACAAAGCTTAACCTTGAGGAACTCACCAACCAGTCATAGCACACTAAACGCGTGCAAACACGATTCGCAGATAGATGGCTTAACTTTCTGAGAAACAATCAGAAGCAGTACAGAATAACCATCAGCAAGAAAACAACCAATCCGAAGATGTTGCTTCTCTGCTAACAATAACGCTAATAAAAATGTACATAAAAATCTATAAATACATCTCGATTTTCTCAACGAAAGATCCGTCACCTGGCCCTTGTCTTCCGTCGTTACACTACTACTGAACTACTGGCGCACCATTAGTTGGTAAACTGAAGGGTAGAAAGTATTCTCAGTTGTTCAGCAGACATAACAGTTTCAAGATTTCATCATGAACTGATATTGGTTGGAAGACCATTGGAAAACCTGTAGGGAGTACTGGACAGCTGTTACATCAGACTAGTTTAAGACTCTTCATCTGTACGCACCCACACCGCGGGGTTCCAGTTCAGAACTTCCTGGTTACAAGGCAAGCTTACAGACCATTAGGCCACTGGGACCCGATCCAATGGCCAGTGTCCATGTACTGCAACTTCTGCAAATAACGATATAGCACGACCAGTGGGCAATGTTATCGGAGAGTATTTGCCACCACACACGACCTGCTGTGCCTCACAGGTCACAACTTCCCAATAGGACCCGAGTAACTACCTACCTGAATAGGGCCGGTCACTAGTGAGCATCAGACTGACATTCAAGTGTTAGTTTCAAGGGATTTGATTGGTTTAAAATCCCTGCGAACCAACGCTTAAACATTTTTTATTTCCTTCACGTTCCCAGTGGAACATAAGTCTTCAAGCTAGATGCTTGAAGTTTCTCCAGCAGTGGTATATCTTTTTACAGGATGGGTTTGCTAGCCTAATGCCCAACCTTTCTTCTTTACCAGTCTTATTGCTGGGTTAGTGAGGTTAAGGAGTGCGTAGGCGGCCGGTGATCGAACCCCAGACCATGTGCATGGTCGGCGAGCATGCTAACCGCTGTGCCACCGACGCACAAACTTAAACATAACAGTGTTAAAAATACAAACAAAATGGCAGATTAATAAAATTTCTTTTTCGAATAAAAGCCAAACGGGAGATCAAAACAATCATATATACGACGACTACTAACTAACCTCAGATCGAAGATCATTATTTCCAGTGTGTAATTCATTCACCACAGTTTTACTTTCTGAAGCGCTACGCTCTAAATCTAAAATTTGTTGACGTGATGATTTTAACCGAGAGGTGATTTCTTCAATTTCCTAGGATAGGTAGAGAAAAACAAAAATATTATGCAGAAATTATCCAATATGTTGCTAAATTAAATTATACATGCACATTTTACAATTAATAAATCATGAAAAGGTGCCATGAGTGCGCGATAACTGCAAAATACAATTGTCTAAAGATTATGAGCTCATGTCAGGCGAACATTAGGGGGAATAAACAAGCCAATACTCGACTAGAGAGATCAATGTGTCGAAACTCCCTATAACGTTAATTATGCCGCTGATCTTCATGAAGAACAAATAACTCCAGCCAAAACAACATCAGATAACTAACTAGAGAACTTGGCGTTTCGATAAACAGATCATGAGTTCAACCACTTTGCCATCTACCACATTTACTCATTCCCGAGTGATAGCTGCTACCTTGACGTGATGGTCGGGCTTGCACATCATGATGACCCACCAAGAAGCCACACTGGCTGGAACCAATGTTCCTGCAGGTCCTACCATGCCAGGAAGGTTGTCAGGATGGCGATTAGACTAGAAGCAGTTTCCGGCCTAGTGTAAAAATCTTTCTTACACTATGCTGGGGGTCTGAGGGAGAAGTCGTACTGTTGGGAAACAGGAGTGTAACAGCAGTAAGGTGTTTCCCTCAGATGACCAGCATGCCAGCCAGCTATGCTGTCTCCCAACTCTGGAGAGAGGGGGTTAGAAAAGGTCGACCCCGAAAATTGTACATCCCGACTTACCCCACCTACGGTGGTCCGTAACCGGCGGTAAGTTTACTTGTACGGAACCAAACCAAGAAACCAATTCATACAGGCCATGTGTGACCGGTTAGCATCAAGCAGTTATCCTCTGGGCTCTGTGGCCATGCAACACTAACCCACTTCCTGTGTTTCAGGTAGCCGAAGAATCAGCCAACTTCCACGGTGTAGGCAGCTGGGAAGTAACGATCGCCCACACACTTCCAAAAGCACACCACTACTCATTAGGAGTAATCAGGTAGCATTACAAACCTGTAAAAGTCAGAAGTGGTTCGTATTTGAGAAGCATGAGAAAAAAAATAATAAAAATCGCATTGATGAACCTACCTTCAATCTTTCTGCAGCTAAATTATCTAAATGTGCCACTTGAGATTGAAGTTCAGTTTTCTCAGCCACTAAAACTCCAATAGTTTTAGCATGTGCACGTATCTATAAAATTCAATGAAATACATAACAAACTGTCATAACATGTCTAAAATATATTTAACTGAAGTAGACGGATATTTTATTAGTTACAGGATTTCCTCATGAGCTGCTGACATCAGTTAGAGAAGCATTGGAAAACCTGGGCGTACAAACCAATACTTGAATATCAATGAGATGCTCACTAACGACTGGTTCTATTCAGGTAAGTAGTTACATGGGTTCCAGTGTGACGTCGCGACCAGTAGGGCGCAGCACGTCGGGTGTGAAGATATATACTCGCCGAAGTCATTGGCTAGTGGTCACGCTATGTCGTGAATTGGTAGAAGTTTGAAATCATCGCCTGGCCATTGGATTGGTTCCCAGTGGCTTAACGGTCTACGAGCTGGCTGGCCTTATAAGCAGAAGGTCCTGAGTTCGAATCCTGTCGGTGGGTGCGTACTAATGGAGAGTCCTAAACTAGGCTGACGAAACGGCTGTCCAGTACTCCCATATAGTTTTCCAGTGGTTCTCTAACCGATGTCAGCTAATGATTAAATCCTGTAACAAACCAATCAAATCTCTACAAATCAACACGAGTATGGAGTTAAGGTTCAATGGTCTAAACGTCTAAATTCTAATTGCAGGTTCACGGGTACGAACCCCACGCGATCCACTAAGGTTTAACCAGCCCTCCTCCCTAACACAATAGGTATAGTTGACTACTGATATCAGTGAAATACAGGTGATCGCTGGGTAACGTTAGTCGTTTTGTAATGGTATGAGGAGTGCTACAGACAAAATTTACCAGTAGGTATATATACACGCAGATTGATAAGAAGCAGCGTCCCGAATCGGGGTCATGAGAAAAAAAAACAGAAACGAAGCTTAACCTTGAGAAACTCACCAACCAGTCATAACACACTTAACGTGTGCAAATACGATTCGCAGATATATGGCTTAACTTTATGAGAAACGGTACACTTAATACAGAATAACCTTGAGCAAGGAAATAACCAATTAGAAGACACTGCTTCTCCGCTGACAATAATGTACATAAAAATGTATAAATATCTGTTGATTTTCTGAATATACGATCTGTTTCCTGGCCCTTGTCTCCTGTCATTACAGTATCTCAGTTAACAGGGAATAAAGTAAGCTATAAGAGGGATTTTACAAGGCTAAGGATTTACAGGTGTTAGCAATAGAAGTTTACAATATTGAAGGCGATATCCGCAAACAAAGAGTCTCGATAGCGAATAATACATTAGTATACCAAGACATTCACTTCATTTTTACTCCAGAACATGAACAATATATTCAAGTATTGATTTCCGGGGATATGATTGATTTCAGGTTTGATTACAAACTGACTTTATTTAGAGAATTATTGAAAACCATCAAGGAGTAGTAGACTCAAAAGTTAGTTCAGTACACCCTAATGACTTACTCAAGCGCGAATTCACCTGAAATCCTGACCAGTAGGGTCCGCCAAGTTGAGCGTGAGGACGGATACTACATGACAACATGACATTGGCTGATGGTTACGGTATATATATCTCTGATGGGCTATTGGATATTTCTTCCTGATTGTCAGTCAACCACCTCACCTTGTAGCCCAGAAGTCCTTGCCTCAGTGCCTGGTGGGGTCGTTGGTGCGTAGTGTCGAAGAGCCCCAAACCAGGACGAAACAGCTGTCGAGTACTCCCCAGTTTTCAGTGGTTGTCTAATTGAAGTCATTTCCTGATCAAACTTGATTGAAACAAAAAATAATGACCGATGCTTTTGTATCGAAGTTAACCTCATATAGCTACACTACCCCTTCGATTAAAGATTTTCCCTCTTACGAATAACAGCGACCAGTAGGTAAAGATATACACAACTTCGCTTAAAACTATCAGTTGAGATAGAAAAGTTGAACTATAACTTACATCTGATCGTCAACCAAATATCAGACACACTTCCCGAATCATCCACAATCAGTATTAGAGGACAGTAATTCAAAAAAACAATCATCAGAAGAGCTATCCACTTTACTAGCCAATCATTTGAGCGATTTACACGTTTTTGATTGGTACATAACGAAAACAACCTTACTGCTGTTTATAAGTTTCGAACCCTGACGAATTGAGGACGTATGGTACGTACAGTTACTGAGAGGTGCCAAGAAGCTAGCTACCTTTAATATAATATAATATATCATATTGAGGTTAGGTGAGAAGGGAAAGCCAAATGGTGAGGTTATGAAGCTACAGAGATTAAAACGGTAAGGACACGACGTGTTACTCATGCTGAGCCCTCACCTTTGGCGTCAAAAAATGCCATTTGACATAGGATCAAGTCGGAAAAAGAGCTATAGATGGTCAAATGAAAATATGTCATCAACCAGCCAGGTAGTCTCTAATAGTTTTGGATTGAATGGCATAAAGAGGTGTAGAGTGCCTCTAGCTGGGGTTCACGAGGCGCTAAGAATCATTGGTCAGAAAATGTCGGTGACATGGCTCAGAATCGTTCTCAATTTAATCGAATTGCTTCACTTCCCCGATGATATATGTCTGATTTCCCACAAAATGGGAGATATGCAAGTGAAAAGCAACAAGTTGGCAGAAGAAGCATCAAAGATAGGACTCCAAGTAAACATAGAGAAAACAGAGATGTTGAAGATTCCTGGCCAACAGCAACAACCACAGCAACAACAACAACAGACAACAATCAGCCAGCGTAAATGGGAGAAACCTGAAAGAAAAAACCTCTTTTACCTACCTACCTACCAACCTAGGAAGCATCGTTTCAACTACATGCGGAACTGACGAGGATATCAAAAAGAGGATCGGGAAAGCGAGACAAGCCTTCATTACTCTCAAGTCTGTGTGGAGGTCAACAGAACTCCTCAGAGTGAAAAATAAGATCCGGATTTTCAACTCCAATGTAAAGTCAGTGCTACTCACTATACGGATCAGAGACTTGGCGCATCATGAAGAGCATCTCAAACAAACTACAGACCTTCATTAACAGCTTTTTTCATTCAGTACTTAAGATCAGATGGCCAGAAAACATCAGCAACAGGGATCTCTGGGAACGAACCAACCCAGGAGGAACCGATTGTGAAACAAATAGACAGGAAGAAATGGAGATGGATTGGGCATACTCTGAGAAAACCATCAAGTGACATCACTAGACAAGCCATTGCTCGAGTGGAACTCGGAAGGGAAGTGGCGAGCTGGTCTTCAGTGCGAGGGTGACATGGGGGAGGTCATGTGAAGAGGAGATGAAAGCATGTGGGAAGACCTGAAGCCAGGTGAAAACTTTAGCAGAGAACCGAACGCAATGGAGACGTTCGGTTGAAGCCCTATATTCCTCTAGGAATTAAAGGAAATAATATTAATAGTAAGCTAAAATTAAAGAGATTATATTGAAAAAAAGTGAATTCAGCAATAATGAAATACATAAAGCGCTGAATTTATCAGTAACCTAGATAACATTTAAAGTTTTTGACAAAAAAAGCAAATCAATAGCAATAGAGTATTTCCAGTTTTCGACGAGAATTACACATTGTATAACAAGAAAAAGAGAGTGCACCTCAATTCACTAAATGGATAGACGTGTGATTTCACATGATTCCGCTAAGTTAGAGGATTAGCGGTGGTCAAACAAAAACTTGGCACCAGTCAATGAAATCCACAACAGTTGGTCTAAGCCACGTAGAAAGGTGTAGACTTCCAGGCTGGGGTCCTCGGGACGGTAAAAATCTATGGTTGGAAACAATTGGTGACATGGCTCAAAATCGTTCTCAATATCTAGCGGAGATGCATCCACTCCTTGTGACTTATGATTTCCAATGAAACTGTTTTGTTTTTCTTTATTACTCCTTTGTCTCACACCTCTGCTCACTGTTTCTATTATGCTTTTCTTGTACTTTCTTCTCTTGCTTCGCGTGCTACACGGAATGTGGCGACTTGAACTTCCGCACATTTGTGCAAAGTTCTATGTCGAAAACAGACAGACAGACAGAGGATTATGACTGAAAATCAATTATACTAGATAGTATGAAAAATTAACACCCCTCAATTAATTTAAAGTAGGATCCGATTTAAAAAAGAAAGCAAAAAGTGATGAAAGCAAAATACTACACTAATCTATAAAAGTCCTCATTGTGGATTACAATTTTTTAGAGACCTATGAGCTATCTGATCACATGCGCTGAGAAGACTATCAAGTTATATCGTCAAGAGGAACCTGAATGAGAAGCAATCGAAGGTTAAATGGAGGACATTGCGTCAGGAAGATATCGAAGCATTGTGAGCAGAGTAGTAGAGTCAGTTGAAAGGGACGGCAGAGAACTAAGTACGATAAGAGAATGTCTTTAAGGCCCTGTGTTCCCCTTTGGAACATAAGGCACGAGTATTAATCAATAATATAATAACAAGCAATCTGACCACATGACTATCGACACGTTAGGCGTCGATAATAATAAAACTGTTATGAAGTCGCCACTTCTATATTTTGCAGTATAAAATGTAACACTGAACTGAATAGAGACACCGATAATGGACATGGACGAGGTGACCACGCAGTTGCTAGGCTATGCCAACAACATTACACGACAGATACCTTCCTCCCCCCCCCACCCTCCAGCACGCTCTACTTAAGCCAGAACATACGATGACATGAGAGGGAAAATATATTTCAATATCAGCATATTTAGATGAGCAAATGACGTATATACACTACATACATGTCCAATGACGTAAGTGTGAGAGATATCCATAAAAGAATGTATTACCATCTATGGTTTACTTCCAGATTGACTATGATCACCACATCAAAAACTCAAGGTCAACAGCAAGAACATAAATGTGTTGTGTTCACTCTTCGCATCATCTGTAGAATTTACAATCTTTTTTACAAACTTTCATTTGGTTATTGTGTTCCGCACGACAACCATATCTGTTTATTAGTTAGTGTCAACCTACCGCCTCACCATTTTAAACACAATCACCTCTAATCTAAAAGATATTACCTATCTATCGGTCACATGTTCAGACCAAACTCCACCATATCTATTTTAAACTAAGCAGTTGCACAGCTTTAAAAGTCCTCACATACTAAGTGAACTTAATAACACAATACATAAAATTGTATAGGACTATTGATATGTACTTGTAAAGACAGAAGACAAGGGTCAGGAAACTGATCCTTTGTTGAGAAAATTGACAAATATTTATAGATTTTTATGTACATTATTATTCGTTATTGTCAGCAGAGAGGTACCGTCTTCTGATTGGTTGTTTTCCTGCTGAACTCTTCATCAGTACGCACCCACGACGCTAGCTGTGTCTGATCATAGGTGACTGCGCGCCCTATCCCGTGTGAAGTGGTATAATACGTTGGGCGACATTGAGGTTAGGTCGAAGTCGAGTGTTATTAGGTAAGGAGAGGAAATCAATCGACGAGACTATCAAGTTACAACAACTGAGATGGTTAGGATATGTGTTACGTATACCCAGTCATCGCCTTCCTCGATGGGCAATGTTAGCTGACATAGAGTCAGGTTGGGAAAGAGACAGTGGTGGTCAAACAAAAACATGGCCTCATCAGTCAATGAAATCCATAACAGTTAGTTTAAACCGTGTAGGGAGGTGTGGACTTCCTGACTGGTTGGGGTCCTCAGGACGGTAAAAACCAATGGCGCCTGGAGACAATTGGTGATATGGCTCAAAATCCTCGTTCTCAATGGCTGGCGCAGATGCATCCTTGTGACTTCAATACCCAATAAAACTATATGGTTCCTCCATATTACTATTTTTGCCTCATATCTCTGTTTACCGTCTCTATTTTGCATTTCTTTTTACTTTCTTCTCTGGCTTTGTGTGCTAAATGGAGGGAGTGCGGCGACTGGAAATGCTGCACATCGGTGCAAAGTTCTACGTTGAGATCAATCAGCCAGTCAGTTAGCACTCACACCGCGGGATTCGAACACAAGACTTTACGGTTACAAGGCGAGCTCACCTTGAAACCAATCAAATCCCTGTAAACCAGCACTTGAATATCGCCATTTGATTGGTAAAATGTTATGCAGTGTAGGGAAAAATGCTATATACATTAAACTAGAATCAGAGGTGAGAATCTAAATGAAAAGTAAACATTTCTTCGCTCAATCAATCCGTTTCCTTTCGAAAATACAATAAAGTCAAATGGACTAATTAACTAACTAACTTGTTCTTTAGTTTTTTCTAAATCACGTTGTGAACTATTCTGTAAAGTTGTACGTTCATTAGCCAAATCATTGAATCGACGCTCATATTGTTCTTTCATTGAATCAAGTTTAACTTGTAAACGTTCAAAAGCACGATTACGTTTTTCCAGCATTGAAGCTAATTCAACATTTCTTTCCTATTGAGAAAATTAAAAAAATTAATAAAGACATGCACATGATTAAGCCTTACTCACCTATGATTCTATGAATCAATATAAGCAGCTTTACAGAAAATCAATGCAAACAGATCAAATGCTCAAGTATAACAGCAATAATCCAAGAACTCACAAAAGAAACTGTCTGTAGACATTAGACGCTAATTTGTTGGATGGTGGCTGTCGGTGGAATCTAGGATGAGTATTCCGTCCTATTCGGGACTCGTTTGCCAGCTAGATGCACATGCATTCTGCAGTGAGTGATGCTGTTCCCTCCGGGGCTCGAACCCAGTGCCCATAGTTTCAAACGCCAACGCGTTATCTACTAGACCACTTGGGCCACGATAGCCACCTCTTGTGCAACGCGTCATATTAATTATTTAATTGAATTTTAGATTTTTGCGTCGATTGATTGAATTGATTGGACTCACTGCGGAATGCAGGTGCACATCCAACTGGCAGACGAGTCCCAAATAGGACAAAATGCGCATCCTGGTTGGATTCCACTGCTAGCCACCACAATCCACTAAATTAACCTCTAATTACATGCCTAGACATCGTCGAAGCATCAGCACAAGAAGCCGACAAGGAGTCAACCTGAGATCGAGCACTTCGGCCCAATCAATCGACAGGAAAATCTAAAATTCAGTTTGTAGACATTGTCTAAAACAGTTCAAACACACTGTAGCACTCTGGCGTTGAAAAAAAATGGAAGGGAAACGCCTACTACCCGTATTCAATAAGAATCGGTATCCTCACAATTTCATCAAAAAGTGTTTAAACTCGAGTTAAAGCACTAACAACAAGCCAACACATTAAGTACCACAAGAAAACTGACTCTACCATATAACATAAAGAATATCTCTGAAATATCGGCTGGAATATTAAGACTTTTTGAAAGCCAGACAACGCAATCACTTCATTCGATATTGTGCAGACGAAAAGAACAAGGAAGATAAGATCAACACCATTTACAAAATAAATTGCATAGACTGTGATAAACACTACACCAGTCAAAGTGGGCGTCTCCATCGATTCAGAATCCAAAAACATAAATTAGCTGTGCAAAGGCACAATTGTGTGCATTCTTTCATATCGATGCCTATAGATAATTATGGACACCAATTTGATGAAACGGAGAATGTAGAAGTTTTAAACAGAGGAAATACTAAAAATACTGTCATGGAATTTCTAGAAATCTGGTACTTAGAAAAAATCGGCGACTAACACACACATATTACTATAGACAAACTCTACCAAATAATCGAAAATAAATCCCATAACAAAAAAGTTTAGACTCCAAATCAATAAAAACGATCAATAGCGATGTGAATTAACAACCAGTCATGACAACGGTTGCCAGGAGATACAATTATGTCATCACTCGCGAAGAATTCATATAAGTTCATTTCATACTAAAACTTGCGCTGAAGATGCTGCCTAGACAGGGGACAACGAAAGCTTCACAATTAAACCAACCAGCTCAGAGAACACAAATATATCAAAAAACTAAGTCACCCCTTCACTGTCAGAGGAGATTAGAATTTATATGCACGACCCAAATTTACCACTTAGCAAAAGTGCATAGAACCACTTTTGCCTGGAAATATATGTGGGCAGCCCTACACTAATGAATTCCCAGTTGGGTGGCTTACTAGTTTACATGAGTTCTTTACAACACCCTATCGAAAAATAATATAACTCATAAAACTTCAAGTAGTTTTCATAATAAATCGACAACAATCAGAAGACTATTGAAAAAAGAAAACACCTGACGTTGGTTTCGTCCTGGTTCGTGAGTCATTTGTAGCGCTTGCCCATAACTCCAGACAAAATAATCTACTAAAACGCATCCATATTACTGTTAGGCAGTAACCGAATAATTCTTCCCCAAATCCCACTGATTTGTAAAATATCTCGGTTACACCCACACGCACACATCTCAATGAATGCGTTAATTCTGTAGCACTCAAAGGTGGAGGCAATTCAATTCACTTATGATGAATTGGGAAGTCAGTAAGGAGAACTGCCAATGTTAGAGTGCAGTGTAAAAAGGAAAGAAGATGGGAAGTTAAACACACACACACACTAGTGTTCACAGGAAACCCACACATTCAAACAGATATTTGGACTTCCAATCATCCCATCCTATGTCAGTTAAAATAGGAATGATGAAATGTTTAAGTGACAGAGCACAAAAAAGCTAAGTAGTACCAAGGAAAATCTAAGACAGGAAGTGATACACATAAAAGAAGCCTTGAAACTTAATAATTACCCTGATAAATTAGTCAGGAAATATGTAGGCAAATGTAGTGATAGTGATAATAATAATATTAATGGCAACATGCATGTCAAACATGCGCAAGATAATGACAACATCAACAATAAAGAATCTAAATCATCAGTAGTAATTCAATACAAGGAAGAACCTCAGAAACCACCTTACGCAGAATTCTTAACAAGGCAGGAATAAAAGTGGCTGGCATTCAAACCAGCCACAAACTCAATTAGAAACAAGCTTTATCGGTTAATGGATCAATCCTGTGGAGCCAATAAAACAAAAGCATAGTGGTTAGGACTCTCGCCGACCATGCACATGCTTCGGGGTTCGAGCCCACGCCGGCGCACACCTGATATCTATGGTCAGCCTGCAAAATTTGGGCTACCGATATCCATGCTGAAAATTCCATACTTGTACCAAAAATGCAGTGTGGAATCAAGCTGTAAATCAAAAAAAGAACACCCTGGCTGCAATGATTGTCAGATCAAATACATAGGCCAAACTAGTAGAACAGGGGCAGTCAGTCAGACTAGCTGAGCATAAAAACCCAGCAAAATCTAGTTTAGTTGACCCGAATAAGATAAGAAATCTAGAGAATAGTTCAGCTACAGCACTAAATGCAGTTACACACAACCACACAATAGGATGGATGGGATAGGATGATAGTTTGAAAATCTAATGTCACAGGGTGGAGGGAGAGATTGATAACAGCGGAAGCTTTGTTTATCGGATCAACTGAGAGAAAATACGTGTAATAGGAGTGATTCAACACCTGTACAGCCAGAAATCTGAAAATTCTACTACGCCTACGACTACGAATAGGGGAGAACAAAGAAAACTATAAAACTGAAGTTTCGAAATCGTGTGATTATAATTGATCAGATGATTATGAACAGTAATAAATGTTGTTCGAAACTGTGTCATCCAGTAAATAATGATACTGTGTTCACTGACTGTGTGATACATCTAACAAACAAACTAATATGGAATTCTGTAGCACAACTCTACCTCGTATTTCAACTAGCATCAATCAAAAATGGTTTTCATTACTAAACACATAACTCACCTCAAGTTCTCTAACTAGCGAATTTTGTCCAGTACACACTTGCGATGATTGTCCAGACATATACGAATTCGGTGTTGAACGTAAAAACTCCTTTTGTTGTTGGTGTTGCTGCTCATAAGACTCAACCATTCGATGATTCTGTTGATTAGAAGACAACTCAGGATAACTGTATGACTCTAGTAAACTCGATGGTGAAGATAATAACCTGTTGTTACCAGTACGGAATGATGAAGAGTATTCACTATTCATCAGAGGACTAGTAGCGCCAGATGTATGCAGTGAAGTTAAACGTTCTGATGTCTCCAGTATACCATCCAACTGACGAGTTAATTGTAAAAGTTTTTCGGTTGTCGCTGTAGGCCTTTCATCAAAAAGTACATAGGAATAAATGTAAATATATTATGAGTTCAGCTAAGAAAAAACCTTATTGTTAGAAAACAGTTACTCGAAACAGACTGCTAATGCACCAAGGCTATTCAGTCGCCCAGCATGAAGTGTATGAAGTAGTGGCTTCCAAACCTGGAAACCATTGGCTGAAAGTAAACTGCTTAGGTCATGCGTCGGTGGCATAGCGGTTAGGACGCTCGACGACCATGCGCATGGTCCGGGGTTCGATACCCGGCCACCGACGCACTCCTTTACCCCGCTAAGCCAGAAATAATGCTGGTAAACAGGAAAGGTTGGGCATGAGGCTAGGAACCCCATCCTGTGAAATAAACACTGGTACAGAAACTTCAAGCCACTAGCTTGATACATGTATTTATATTCAAATACACAAAGTGAATAACATTTAACAAGTTCTTTCCATATTCTAACTGGATGGTGGGGATGTGCCCTGCTGGTACAAGCAATCGACTTTCAGATGACAATGCGTGCCTGCCTCAAGTCCTGCTCCATTTACTTCAGCTCGGCAGCTAGGTAGTATTATCAAACGTCACACAGCAAGTGTAGCTCTTAGCTTGGTACACGAAAAATCGGTCCCACGTGACTGAGTCCCAAAAACTTCAATTTATTTAAAAAGTCATGTATTTCACTGACGTTGTAGACAAGAAGTAGTATAGTTTCTTTAACGTAAGTATTCGGAATGTAAACCACCAAGCAACAGATGATTTACCACAGTTTAAGATATTACGATTATATCCCGACCGAAAGCTGCTACCTTGACGTGGTGGTCGGGCTTGAACACCGCAATGACCTAATCAAGCTATACTGGCTGAGACTTATGTCTCTTGAGGTTCTACCATGCCAGGCAGGTTGTTTGGATAGCGGTTAAACAAAAAGCAGCTACCTCATCCAATACCATGATCCAAACAAATTCACAAAATTTCATGCCGGATCGGCCGTGGCCCGGATTAACAACGACCGCGCTTCCTGCTGCCGTGTCACAGGGCGGGAGTGATAAGTATGCTACTGAGGCACACAAAACAACAAGAACGAACAAAAACAGGCCGCGTGTGACCGGCCACAAGCAGTTGTCCCCTGGGCTCTGCGGTCACGCAACCAACTTCCACGGTGTGGGCAGCCGGGAAGTAACAATCGCCCTCACAATCCGAAATGCACACAAAACCTCTCTAATCCTCACTTATCTTTGTCTTCATCTTCATCTCTATTACCTTGCCTTCCTCCACTGATGCAACTCCTCTACTTGATGGCTCCTCACTCCCTCTTCACTCTGTGTCCACTAAAAACGACGAAAGCCAAAAAACCACCACGGATAGTCTCCTAAAGCCACGCCACCAATTTCATATAGGAGCATTTAATGTTAGGACACTTTGCCAAATAGGACAACAAGCATCACTAGCTAAGACCCTGGCATCTCGAGCCATTGATGTATGTTGTGTTTCAGAAACACGCATACAAGACCCAAGTGTGGTTATTCACCTAACCCCACCTGGCCAACAGGATGAATCTTCAAAATTCACCTTGAGGGTGTCAGGAGATGCCACAGCTAGTTCACGGGGATTAGCTGGCGTAGGGATAGCTCTGAGTACTAGGGCAGAAAAGACATTGCTTGACTGGATCCCGGTAGATAGCCGAATGTGTGCTGTCCGTCTGAACGGATCAGTAAGAAGGAGAAAGGACTGCACTACTCGCCGATGCCTTTTCGTAATCTCCGCCTACGCCCCCACTGACTGCAGTTCGGATGAAACGAAGGATGAGTTCTACCAAAAGCTGTCTAGTTTGGTGAGAAAGGCTAAACGCTCAGATATAGTCGTTCTAGCTGGTGACTTCAACGCTCAAGTAGGGAAATTGTGTCAATCTGAGAAGGATGTCGGTGGCACCTATGGAGTTCCGTGCCAGCGAACCGACAACGGTGACCGTCTCCTACAGTTCTGTTCAGATAATCATTTGTTTCTTGTAAGCACTAACTTTAAACACAAGGAGAGACACTGTTTAACCTGGCGACCCCCATCATCAAACCAACGCTGGACACAAATAGACCACATAGCAATAAGCTATCGTTGGCGTGGGTCGGTAGGAGATTGTCGCTCCTTCTGGAACACGTGTGTAGATACCGATCACGCACTGGTCCGGGCTCGTGTGTGCTTACGACTGAACGGACGTAGGAAACAGCTGGCGGTAAAACCATTACGCCCCCAGCTCGATCAGGAAACTAAATCCCTATTTGAGGAAGAACTAGCTAAACGCATATCTGAATCGACAGCTGTGCTCACCCTGGAGAAGCCTGGAAGAATATTCAGTCAGCTATAGATACAGCTGTAAAAGCTGTGAATAAGACAAATCCAAAGGTGAGTAAAAACCACTGGATTTCGACTGCCTCATCCGAACTGATAGATGCTAGAAGACTTATTCCGGCGAGCTCCGAATTCAATGAGGAGCGAAAGCTGCACAAAAGGAAACTTACTAAAAGTCTCCGCAAGGACCGTGAACAGTGGTGGGTGACAAAGGCGAAAGAGATGGAAAAAGCATTGGCGATAGGCAACACTAGGCAACTCTTTAGACTCATCACAGAATCGGGCGGGAAAAGGCAATTCATAAGTGAGACTATTTCTGAGAAAAATGGCTCCTTAATTAGCTCTCAGGATAGACGCCTTGAACGCTGGAAAGAACACTTTGAGGAACAATTTAACTTGCCTACAGCCACACTGAACCTCCCCGCCATCCACCACGTACCCGAATGGGATATAGACACTGGTCCGCCGTCTGTAGGTGAGGTTACAAAAGCTATCAGTAATTTGAAACGAGGCAAAGCGGCAGGACCCGACGGAATTATTCCGGAGGTGTTTAAATATGGGGGTGACATACTAGTTTGTAGATTAACTGAGGTACTAGGCAAAGTCTGGGAATCAGAGACAGTACCATCAGACTGGGGTAAGTCACTCATTATACCGATATTCAAGAAGGGAAACAAGTCCTCGTGTGATAATCATAGGGGGATCAGCCTAACGAACATAGTCTCTAAAATCCTAGGCTCAGTAATCATGCATAGACTAAGCAGAACTCGGGAGGAACAGACAAGGGAAAATCAAGCAGGCTTTAGACCAGGTAGAGGGTGCATAGATCATATCTTCACTCTTCGACAGATTCTAGAACATAGACACACTTTTCGGCGTCCAACAATTGTCATATTTCTTGACTTGAAGGCGGCCTTCGACTCCGTGGACCGAAAAGTACTATGGCAATGTCTGACTGTGAAGGGAGTGCCAAGAAAGTACATTGCACTAATCAAGGCACTCTATTCAAACTCACGTAGTCGTGTAAGGGCTTATGGGGAATTGTCATCTGAATTAGTAACAACCAGTGGTGTCCGACAGGGATGTCCACTTTCCCCATTTCTGTTTAACTTCATCATAGATATGCTAATGGAAGTATCCTTAACTGAACGTAGTGACTTAGGAATCGACTTGTTACCAGGGAATAATCTAATGGACTTAGAATATGCAGATGACATAGTCCTGTTAGGGGAGGATGCTGACAAAATGCAGAGTCTTCTGAACACCTTGAGCAGCAATCTTCGTATGTTTGGCATGCGATTCGCCCCTGCAAAATGTAAGATGCTGCTACAGGACTGGACGACGTCAACCCCTAACTTAGTGATAGGGAGTGAAGTGATAGAACATGTTGACCACTTCACCTATTTGGGAAGTTGTATTAGCACCAACGGACTGATTGGCGATGAAATCTCAGCACGGATCCGAAAAGCTCGAGCTGCTTTCGCTGACTTACACCATCTCTGGCGTAGGCGTGACATCCGGTTATCAACCAAGGGACGTGTGTACTGCTCATCAGTTCGCTCCGTCCTTCTCTATGGCTCTGAAACATGGCCAATACGCGTTGAAGACATGAAAAGGTTGACTGCTTTCGATCATAGATGTCTGCGATCTCTGTCTCACGTTAGGTGGTTTCACAAGATAAGTAATGTTGACGTTAGGCGTAGAGTGTTGGGCAAAGAGGGAAAATCAATCGACGAGGTTATAAAGTTACATAGACTAAGATGGCTAGGTCACGTGGTGCGCATGCCTAACCACCGCCTCCCCCGACGGGCATTGTTAGCTGATATAGGTTCAGGTTGGAAAAGAGCCAGTGGTGGCCAAACAAAAACATGGCATCAATCCATGAAATCCTTGACAGTTAAACTGAGTCAGGTAGGGAGATGCAGACTCCCGGGTTGGGGCCCTCGGGACTCTAGGAATCAATGGCTGGAGACAATAGGTGACATGGCTCAAAATCGTTGTCAATGGCGCAGATGTATTCAATCTCTGTAATCTTTCATATTCCTTTCTACCATTACCCATTCTGTTTCACTCTTATATTTGTCAAACTCTATTGATTCTCTTCACTCATCTTCTTGTCTACCTCTGTGTGCTATTTGGAACGTGGCAACTCGAACTGCTGCACTTCGGTGCCAAGTTCTATGTTGAATCCAGACAGACAGATTACGATTATATCTATAATATTCCATAAACTGTTCATTTACCAAACTATACTGTGAAAATAACTAAAATGATGTGGAAAACATCTATTGATGAACTAGTCACCACCAGTCGATCGAATAATTTTGACCAAGAATAAAGCATTTAATCCAATTTCAAATTTCTCCGTCGATTGACTGGACTGAAATGTTCGGTTTCAGGTTGACATGTCGGCCACTCGCTCAAATGCTTCAACGATGTCTAGTCATGTAACTTGAAGTCAATTAGTGGATGGTGACTAGCAAGCAGTGGGATGCAATGGATGCACATTTCGTCCTATTTGGGACTCATCTGCATACCCCAGTGAGTGAGTGAGCGATGCTGTTCGCACCGGAGCTCGATCCCAGTGCCCAAGGTTTCAAAAGTCAAAGCTATATCCGCTAGATCACTTGGGGGCCGTGACAGCCACCTCTTGACATCAAATGAATAAGGCAGTTTAATAAACATGCTCGATCATAGGTTACAACAAAACTTGTAAACATACTTGACTATTCAAATAAGATACAGCACATTGGTTTCGGTATTTGACTCTCTCACATACAAGCTGTGGTTTGTTAGTCCATGTACTCAACTTCCAACCAATGCGTCACGGGTTCGAATCCCTTTGCGGCCAACAGCGTCTGGACAACCAGATAGTATTACTAGCCTTATTACAGTAATCTGCATGGAAATATAAGTGATTGCTGAGTAACATATTTTCCACACAACGCATTGCCATGATTTCACATAATTCAGCTTACACAATAGAATAGTATCATTAGCCTTTACACAATAACAGTAGTTTACATGCCGAGTAACTAAGCACTGACCAAATAAAGTTTCCCGTTCAACTGAATGAAATTCGTTTCCATCAAACTTAAGAGAACAAACCCTTATTATCTTTTCAAATATATTTATCTCGCAGTGATGATGATGTTTACATTTCGTCTTGACTTCCTCCAATAATAATAAGCTTCACCAATCCCTGGAACAGGTTTGGTCACCAGCGGACATCAGTTAGAGAAATATCAGGAAACCAGGGAGAGTACTGGACAGCTGTTTCGCCCCACAGTTCAAGATTCTCCATCAGTGCACAACCACCGGGAGGGGGGTCGAACCCTGATCACAAGGCGAGCAGCTTGTAAACCAACCAACCAGCCACTGAGACCCGATCCAATGGCCAGGCCCATGAAGTCCAACTTGTGTCAATTCGCAATATATAGAGCGCAGCCACTAGCTAGTGTCCTAGGTGAGTGTAATTGTTCTTTCTTACATAACTTAAACCCCTCCCCGGAGCCAGTCCACTGGTCACAACTTCTCACTATAACTCTAGGTGACTTCCACAAAAAAGCGCCAGTCACTAGTGAGCATCAGACTCATGTCAGCTAGTGATCAAACCTCTAACCACCGCATCTGTCTCTTTTTGACATAGAACTTTGCACCGATGTGCACTAGTTCAAGTCACCACACTCCATGTAGCACACAAAGCAAGAGATGAAAGTAGAAGAAATGCATAATAGGGACAGTAAACAGAGGTGCGAGACAAAGGAATAGTAGTAACGAAGAACAAAACAGTTTCATTTGAAATCATAAGTCACATAGAGTGGATGCATCTGCGCCAGCCATACCACCAATTGTTTCCAACCCTTGGATTAAACCATCCCGAGGACCCCAACCAGTCAGCCAGTCTATACCTTCCTACGTGACTGGCTGGTTTAAACTAACTGTTGTGGATTTCATTGACTGGTGCCATGTTTTTGTTTGACCACCACTGGCTTTCTTTCAATTTGATCCTATGTCAGGTAACATTGCCCGTCGGTCGAGGAAGGCAATGACTAAGCGTGCATGCGTAACACATGTCCTAACCATCTTACTCGATCGATGTAACTTCACAGCCTCGTCGATCGATTTCCTCTCCTTACCTAACAACACTCGACCGACACCTAACCTCAACATTGCTCACGAGACATAGAGCGCAAGCACCTATGATCAAAGGCAGCCAATCAGGTATTTCATGTTTTCCACTCTCAATGACCAGGTGTCTCACAGCTGGCCATAAAGGAGGAAGGAGCGGACTGCAACCACAGAAACATTAAGAGTATTAACCGAAAGAAAAAAACAACTCTTACTTACATATAATCTACAGTTACTTTGTCATCAATTTCAGATTCCAAATGAGATTCTTCTTTAGTAGTAGTAGTAGTAGCAACATCTTCCTGTAACTGATTAGTAGAAATATTTACATTATAAGGCATAGATGAAAAAGTATTCTGATGTACTTCTGGACATATAACAGAAGAAGTCGACAAAGTAGAAGTAGTGGTAGCAGCGGCAGCAGCAGGACAACCATCCGACGTTATCTGATTCTGATCATTTAAATCTAGTGGATTACAATAAGCAGATAAATTTAACTCCACTGACGGCCGCGGCGGTGGTATTTCCTGGTGCATATTTCTACTCGACGGTATCTGAAATGCAGATGATGCTAATGATAATGATGATGAGGTAGGCGAGGATAAGATCTGATTATCATCAGTGAGATTTCCAACAGGTGTATAATAGTCATTGGAAGAAACACCACCGGAAACGCCATTGCCATAGTGAGAAACAACACAGGTAGTAGAAGTCGGAGGAGGAGGATAAGGAGGAGTAGCATAATTACTGCTAGGAACAGATGGCACTGATGCTTGTCCAGACGGTGGCGGTGGTGGCGGCGGCATTGGCGGTTGAACAGCAGGAGCAGGAGCAGGGCTATAGTAATAATTGTTTGGATTGTAAAAGTAACTCGCCAGTGAATTAGACGTAGTATTATACTCCGCTGAGACACTCGGCACATCATACGATTGCTGGGGTTGATATATTTCAGAATTTCCATAATATCCTGTATTTGATACACTTGGTAAGTTATAGTGTTGCTGATATTGAACTGGTTGTCCTTGACTGAATTGACTGTTATCAGATGGTAACCTGGAAGAGAGGAGGTATGAAGAAGGCCTGAACATGTTATCGACATATCAGCAGTTAAATTGCTTAGGATACAATCAATTCAGCGTCTTAAGTGTTCAGTATTGAATCAAAAGGATTATTATTTAAACACAGAAAAAAACTTGGTACATTATGGCACCAAGAAAGATGCGCCACACAATAATAATAATAAAACAACATAGACCAAAGGTAAAAAAGAGAGGTAGACAACGGATAAAGAACTTCATCTAGAAGGAAAACAGTCATACTCGACAAGTTCAAACAGTATTCGTCAACTATCATCGGAAAGGGAAGAAAGAAAGAAATTGCAACACGTTCGCCATTGATCACTGCGATTTTTGGCCATATCCGATGTTTCGAGCCATCGATTCGAGCTATCTCGCGGACCCCAACCAGGGAGTCGTGACACACCAACCGACGCCAGTCTAGCACAAAAATCCTTCATCCCAAGATGCCACGTCATGGACTGACCACCTCTCCGCCTTTTCCATTCCGTCCCAGGGCTGGCTAGCGGACAGACACCTGAACAGAAGCCTCTGGGATGACATTCGCAACACATGCTGAAGTCACCGGAGCCGGTGTTTCCACATGACGACACTCAATGAATGGTGATCTCCACTGTGTTCAAACACACGCTGCCGAACCTCAGAATTACTCAAGCGATGATGCAATCCAACGCAAGCAATCCTGCGGAGACAGCGATGATCGAACACGCAGAGTAGCCGCACATCCTCAGCCTACTCGGAGAGGCCAGGTTTCACAGGCGTAGAGCAAGACAGACCGCACCGCAGCATTGTATACCCGACCTTTGACAGCCAGGCTAACGTCGCGACGGCGCCAGAGGTGGCTCAAGTTGATGTATGCCACCCTAGCCTTCATTATATGGTTGTAAATTTCATCTGTCACCCCTCCGCCAGCACTCACACAACTACCCAGAAACATAAACTTAATAACAACTTCAAGCGGTTCACCCGCAAGAGTGAGTGCAGGTACAGGCTCTTGCCAATCTTGTAACAGTACTTTGCAATTAGACAGCGCAAAGTACATACCATACTTACAGACACTGAGCGCGCGATGAATTTCAATGATAGTTTGTTGCTTTATTTCATTTATTGTGGGAGGGCTGAGATACTGCCCAGGCGCCCAGACCGAAGCAGGTGGTTTTATTAAGGGACCACCCCCCGAGCCTTTGACTTGCAGTCTAATCCGCAAGGCAGCTGAGCAACGTCATGAGCTGCATTCCCATGGTTTCCAGTGACCCATATGGGTTCATACGCCATTTGATCCCATTGGATTTTGGAGCCCATGTAACCCCCATGGTAACTGCTTTTAGTAAAACCGCTATCCAAACAACCTTCCTGACATGGTAGGACCTGCAGGGAACATGAGTCCCAGGCTTGTTGGGTCACTGCGGTATTCAAACCCGACCACCACGACAAGGTAGCATTTGTCGGCCAGATTATTAGATTCGAAATACTTTTTATACATACTGACAGTCAACCACTATCTGGTTATGTACACAGATCTGCATGCAACCATTGCTCACAAATCGCACTAAGCACAGTCTTGCTAAAAACTTACAGAATACGTCAATAAAACTGTCAACAAACAAACAAACATGAACCCGTCATTACTAAACTCTTCAAAAGCATCAAATTGATTACAACTCAGTATAAATATCCTAGTGATGTGATTTGTGTATATGCACATTGTAGTTTGAAGTTTTACCTACGAAATTCTATGAGACACTAACTAACCTCCCCCTCGCAAATGGTGAAATGCTTCATAAGCGAGCACATGTGCAATTTGCATCTCTCTCTAGAGATTGTTGCCATGAGAGTCTTTTAAGATAAAATCAAAAGTTCATAGTGAGCTAAAATATCCCTCTATAGCTATCTACTAATCAGTAAGCCCATACAGTCCGGATACCAGGAAAGCAAAGACAAACCTTCAAAGAAAAGTCTTGATGGATAAAAGATGGATATCTATCTACTTTGGTTTACGGAGAAAAAATATCAAGTTAAAACCTGTGAAGTGCGCCTCCCTTGTTACACACACGCAACGAAATTATGCTGGTAAACATCGATTTCAAAGGTGATCTGCCTGTTGACGCGCTGTAGAGTAGAGAGACAGCATAGCTGACATGCTGATGATCTGAGGAAAACACCTCACTGCTGTTACATCCCTGTTCCCCCAGCAGTACGACTTCACCCACAGACCTCCCAGCATAGTGTAAAAAAATTCTTACACAATACCGGTAACTGCTTTTAGTCTAATCGCTTTCCTCACAATGTTCCTAGCATGGTAGGACCTGCAGGAACATTGGTTCCAGCCAGTGTAGCTTGTTGGGTCGTCACGATGTGCAAGCCCGACCACCACGTCAAGGTAGCAGCTATCGATCGGGAACTAGAAGGGCAAGATCTCACAAATGATCACTATAGTGTGTACATACCAGTTCACCACGCATATGAATTTCTCGATGAGCGTTCTATCTTAATGGATGCAAGAATGAAATGGTAGGAGTAGATCTGTAGGAAGCACGGGCAGCAATTGAACATTTCGACGAGAGTTAGTCAGCTTCAACACACACACACACACCTTTATAGTCATCTAGAAGATGAATAATAACCTGCAAACTTCAGATGGTTGTCTACCTGCTTTGTACTGGTGAAAGAAAGTAAGCATACAAAATAAAATGATCCAACCCCTTCCTTCTTTCACGATTTTAACCTTTCAGCACAACAACAAAAAAACAGTTCAGTCGTGTATTCTTTTAGTTTAATGACTGTTTCTTGAAATAACTTTCAACATAGAGCTTTGCACAGAAGTGCGGCAGTTCAACTCGCCATATTCTATGTACCACACACAAAGGTAGACAAATGGTAGAGGAAAAGAGATTCAAAACTGCCATAACAAACAGACATGTGAGGGAGAAAATAATAGTAAAATGGGAAAAATGTGACGGCTTAGTGGATATAAGAGATCACAAATAATGATTCTAAGATATATCTCCAATAGTCTCCAAGCAAACTGGTTCTTACTCTGCCCAAAGGAACTCAGCCAAGCAGCCACACCTTTAATAATAATAATAATAATAATTGCATTATTCTGGATAGTCTTTATTTAATAAGCCTACAACCTTCCTACATGGCTCAAACCAACAGTCAAAGACTTCAACGACTGGCTGAAGGTGGTTTTGACTCGACAACCTTTTATCTTTTTCCAGCTTAATCCAATATCGGCTAACATGTACCCGCCGTCGAGGAAGACAATGGCTTAACATGTGCAACACACACATATCACAGCTATTTCCAATTGTGATGTAACTTCTTCACAACCTGATCGATTGACTCTTATCCTTCTAACCAGAAGATTCACTCCTAGTTTTAAGCAATCATCTTTTCAATTTGCAAATGATACAATGACGATTCATATCCCTTGGCCATCTGCTTTCATGCAGCCTGTGGTAACTTCAAATTTCACCCAGCATACTTTAGCCTGAACAACAGGATAGTAAACTGTCTCTCTCTCTCTCTTCTACACACACACACACACACACACACACACACATACACATACACGAACTGTATGACCTACAACCTAACATAGAAATTCATTCACCCTTGCAAAAAGGAGATATTTACACAGGATTTATGACTAAGCTGAGCCTAGTTTTTCAGTAACTTAAAATGAAATACCAAAACTCACTGACTGAAGATATCAACCAATCCTATGTATCAGGATTACTTTTTTTGAAACTAAACACTCAGAAAAGTTACTATGTTTACTAAATAACTATCCTATAAAATTCATTAGGAAGATCGGAAAAGCCCAAAAGAAAAAGAAAAATAACTGTGAAACTTGTAATAATAACATAAATAAAAGAGAATATAAGTCATCTACAGTTATACCATATAAAGAGGGGACATCTGAAACCCTACGTAGGATTCTTAATAAAGCAGGAATTAGGGTGGTATTCAAACCTACAAACTCACTCAGATAGGACAAGCTCTGTAGGCTAAAAGATTCGGTGAACCCAATTAAACAAAATAATATAATTTACGAAATACCATTCAATGACTGTGAGGTCAACTACATAGGTCAAACTAGTAGGTCAGAGGTAGTCAGATTGTCGGAACATAAGAATTTAGCTAAGGTAAGAATGGTTGACCCTGAAAAGATAAGTAATTTAGAAAAAAGCTCGGCGATTGCACTACACGCATTAACACACAACCACACAATAGGGTGGGAGAGGGTTAAGATTCTAAGAAGTAATCTATGTAGGTGGAGAGAGAGAGAGAGATTGATTAATGAATCCTGGTTCATTGAGTCTACACCCAAATATGGAAGATATTATTACCATCAGTCAAATCAGAGGAGGATAATAAATAATCTCGAAATTCTATTTCAATTCAAGTAAATCACAACATTCTAACAAGTTACTTATTATGACTATAAAAACACTCGTTTTATTTCCCATCTGATTGTAATTGATCAATAACACTCATATTATTATTTCTGAATGTACATTATCCTATATTGAGTTTTATTTAAATATCTAGTCAATTCCATACATGTATATAAACGAAGGAAAAAGTTGTGTGAGTACCTTGATATGATTATAAGCAATAGTTTGTGCTCGAACCGTGGTCATCAGTTAATATTACTGTATAACAACACTGTGTGATTGATCAATAATAAAATCTTCTCCATAATGGAGTTATGCCCTACCATCACGGTGCCCAAGTTTTACACTTAAATCAAAATTACTATTGTGCATTGCACATAATCCCCGAAATTATGACAGTAACGATATTACAGCAATGTAATCTCTCTACGGATGTTAAACATAACCAAAATCCATCGGAATGACAATAAACTTTGTGATCTTGAAACGGTTATCAAAGCCGAGGAACTTTAATCAATCCAGCTGTACGTAAAATAAACTGTTTTTTACAAATTTGTAGAAAGTTTAATATACATACTAATGAATACAAGATATTTAAAAAAAAAACTTACATGTAGGAGTAATTGGTCTGTTGAGGCGTATTGTTAACCTACAAAAGAATTAAGATTAAAGTCAAAAATGTGATAAGGCTACGAAATCTTATCCTGTCTGTCTGTCTGTCTGTAGATATTTTAATATGTAATACCAGTAAATTATAAAAGGTTGCACTTATTCATTAATCAGGAATAGACTTGATTTAGAGAACCATTGTATAAACCATAAAGAACTGGATAGTAGTTATTTCCTCCTTGATTGGGATGCTTCATCAGTACAATAGCCAGGACCTTCAGAGATTACAAGGTGTACTTATTCAACCATTGCGGTGTAGAAGTCTATCCCTGTAAACCTGAAAGTTCTGAGCTCTATTCCTGGAGGGGTGTTTTTACTTCTGAAGAGTCCTAGGTAAGGAAAAAACAGCTGTCAAGTACTCTCTGGTTTCCCGATGGTTCTTTAACTGATGTCAACTCGTGACAAAACCTGCTCCTGTGATTGGTGAAGCTTATTATTATTGAAGGAAGAAAATCAAGGCGAAATGTATACATCATCAATGCGAAATTAATGTAATATTTTTTTTTGATTACAGCTTGATTCCACACCGTATTTTTGGTACAAGCATGGAATTTTCAGCATGGATATCGGTAGCCAAAATTTTGCAGGCCATCCATAGATATCAGGTGTGCGTCGGCAGGGGATCGAACCCCGGAGCATGTGCATGGTCGGCGAGTCCTAACCACTGTGCCACCGACGCACAATAATAATAATAACAATCTACTTTATTCCAAAAACACTACTTATAATACAGAATGGAATTCTCAGCATTTGTCATAATATTGCATCTGATTTACTCAAAATATAAATATAATTAAAAATTAAAACAAAATTAACCAGAGGAATTTGTCCACATTTACGCTATAAAGTCAAAAATATTCGAAGCACGAATGGAGAATATTAAATATAATAACAATAATAGTAATAGCAGTGAGTTTGTTTCAAACGGTATTGTCGATTCAGTTTGGAAATGTTTAGCATGTATATAGATTATTGAATCTAATGTTCCGATGACAGAGTGTGATGAGGGGGGAATAGAAAATTAACAATTATGACACAGCTTAAATGATGTTCACACTTATGAAAAAATAAACAAATAAAAACGAAAAAATTGAGAGGACTACAAATATAAGTAAGTACAATAACAATAAAGTTTGATCTTGTGAGGGTGGTGGAGGAAATGGTTTATTTAGTAGTGCATAGAAGGTCAGTTAGTTCATGCCTAACACTATTTTTATCACATAAAGTACGTGCCAAATATGATATAGTAATGTTTTTATACTTAAACGTACGTGCATAAAGTCTTCTGAAAAGACTTTTAGTTTTACCTGAGGAGACACAAGGTTGGAGCTGCGGGTGCTGCAGTCGATGATCACAGTTTGACAAAATTCTTTTAGTGAATTTGATGCATGACATCAAGTGCCTATCAGTGACAATGTCAACAATATGGCCCAATGGGACACCACTCGCCCTACTGACAGCTAGTCTTCAGAGTTCTACGAAGTATGACACAGTCTTTTTTAAGCAATCCAGGAAAGAATAAGCAAAGGTGAACAGTAAAGAAGAATAGGTAAGATGCAAGAGTTGACAAACTGTAAGAGGAGGGTGTGGTTGAGTTATACTCGAGAGTGCCTCAACTTCTTAATGTAAAAAGTCAGACGAAATATTCTTTTAGAGATCGCTAAGACATGGGAAGACCAAAGATAGATCAGTAGAAAGAATTAATCCGGGATTCTTAACTTCAGACTTGATTTCTATATCCTCACTATCGTCAATTTTGCAACGGTCATAGGAATCAACAGCTTCATCACTTAACTTTCTATTACATCGGAAACTGAAAAAAGGCATAAAGATGTATTCTCTCCACAATGGTTCTTCAACTGAAATAAATTCGTAATCAAAATTGAAATTAATCGAATGTCTGCAACACCAACACTGGAAAATTATAAAGAATGTTGACTTAACTTCTTCCCAGCAAAATGAGACAACAAAAAAGTGTGATTTCAGTTGTGCAGAAAAAACGTGGATTTAAAGTCGGAATATAATTGACAGTGACTATCACTCACAGACATTAAGGCACCGGCCACAATGTGGCTTGTCAGTTAGTACACTATGGGTACCAAAAGTGGTCCGACACAAAAAAGGATAACAACAATATGTGGAAAAAAGAAACAAAAAGTTTCAGGAACAATAAGATATCAACAGGTAAGCATACTTCTCAAGAGTATTTCTTAATTAATATTACTTCGAGAGAAAGTAAATGGGAATTTGCAACATGATCACTGTTGGTTTCGATCCTAAGACAAGCCTGAAAGTATCTTCAGATACTAAATCGCATAGCCTTGTGGACACTTACAGGATATTGCCCTACTACTACTCCTCTTCACCCCACAGCGTTGCGTCATCAGCTCTCGCACCATCTGTCAAATTTTCTAACCAATCCAGGATCTAGAAAACTGAATAGTGTTAAAGCCTCCGTGTTGACGTTTGTAGCATATGTCTAAGCTAGCATCTTAAGACGATATCATTTGCTAAAAGACTATTTTCACTGCATCAAACATATTATTGGACCTCAGGGACTACTGGCATGCCAACGCCACTATAAGCAAGCGACTTAGTAGACAGCGCTGATCGAATAAAATAACTAAAGCTACTTGGCGTCGGCCCGAAGAAGTCAGGTTTAACTGGCACAGAATATTACTGCATAGAAATTTGTTGGAAAGTCAATCTTTGACGACCAATCTAACATTGTGACCGCGCCAGGTTGGAATATGTTGCATTGACCTTCAATAAACGATTAGAAATTACATTTACACCACCAGCACTCACACAACTACCTGGATACACAGACTTTTCGACTACTTATGAGAGTTAACCTGTGAGGATCAAGGACAGTACAAGCTTCATCCAATCTTATCACATTGCTTTCAACTTGGACGGTAAAAAGTATACACCATACTTACTGACACTAATCGCTAAATGACCAAGTACCAATTAAGTAACCTGAAAGTCATCACAGTAAGATGATATCGTCTGTATACTCGAGGCTAAAAAGTCTTCTCCTTTGCAGATCTACACCACCATTAGGCCACATCCTTCATGGTTGTCTTCAAAATTTCATCGATAGCGAAGTTAAATGAAGACGTTACTAAACCAATCACCTGCAATTCCATGCAGTTGGGAATGCACCACACCTATTGTGCGTCGGTGGCACAGTGGTTAGGGCTCTCGCCGACCATGCACATGGTCCGGGGTTCGAGCCCACACCGGCGCACACCTGATATCTATGGTCGGCCTGCAAAATTTGGGCTACCGATATCCATGCTGAAAATTCCATACTTGTACCAAAAATACAGTGTAGAATCAAGCTGTAAATCAAAAATAAAAAAAAAAAAATAATAAAAAATAAGGTTGGTAACTGACTATCTGACTGCCCAAACCTCAGTAGGTGGAGCGGGTCTCGAACATGTGACCTACTTGATTGTAAGTTGAGCGTCCAAGCCAGTAGGATTGTGCACCCATGTTTGACTTCAATGCTAGTTGAGAACATTGGTAATGGGTGGTTATACGCCATGGCTCTACTTGTATTATTTCTTAAAAGAGATCTGATATGTATCCATATATATATATATATATATATATATATATATATATACATTGTGGTCTCTCTTTCTGTTGCTCTCTTAGTCTGTGACCATTTCACTTTGATGAACCTGTCTCCTTTAACAATGCATATTCCCCTTATATTATATATAATATGTGTGTTTGTTGACACGTCTGCTATATTTTGCTATGTATATATGGATCGATATTCCATTATAATTAGCCAATCATGTTAAGACTGTCTATTGATTTGTTCATTTTGAATATTCGCTCACACACTTGTTCGGACATTCATATATTTTTGCTCTCACACTCTTGTGTGACTTGGATTCTCCTTGTGTTTGGAAAATAGAAGTATCATCGCAAACCTAGCGGTCTTCTGATTTCCGTTTTTCTTGCGTCAGGACTATTAAATTCTCGACCAGTACATAACAATAATTTGGCGACGATTACATAATAAGATCCTTCCCAAAAATCAAACCCAGCCCTAACATATCAAGAATTACAGTGATTGTTAGACTGTATTACATGTGACAACGCCCCAGCAACTGACGAATGGTGGACATGTGATCGCCCCATCAACCATACTAAATACTGAGTAGGTTTTAGTAGTGAGTAAAAAGCCAAACGCAAATAGTATGGTCAGTTAAGGTTTACAGTGATGCCGTGTAAAGTTGTGCTTTTCAGTTTACTCGGAATACACGCGACTGAGATTTGAGGAACCTACGATTCAATGAATGAGTGAAAACGGAGAACTCTTCGCCGACTTCTGCGCCTTCAACGAACTAGTGATTGGTGGCAGTGTATACAAGCACAAAGATATCCACAAGGCTACATGGGTGTCACCAGACGGGCAAACCAAAAACCAAATCGACTTCATCTCAATCTCAAGGAAGTGGAGGCGCAGCCTACTGGACACAAAAGCAAGAAGAGGAGCAGACGTTGGCTCAGACCACTATCTCGTACAAGGGACAATCCAAATCAAATTAAAAGCTTTCAGGGAATCAGGAGCTGCAGATAGACCACAAGCCAAGTTCAACACTCAAAAGCTGAAGGACCAGGCTACAAAGGACATCTTCATTGCAAGCATAAAGGACAAAGCCGAGACACAAATCAACACCAGCGAAAAGGTCAGCGTCGAAAAGCACTGGAACAACTTGAAAACGGTGTGGAGCCAAACCTGCATAGAAATTCTAGGCAGAAAAAAGAGACAGGACAAACAGTGGCTCACTACGGACACTTGGAAACTAATAGAAGAGAGAAGGACAGTGAAGCAAAAGATTATCCAGTGCACGGACGAGCAACAAAAACAGGAGCTGAATGCAAGCTACAATACACTGAACAAAAGAGTGAAGAAGAGTGCCAGGGAAGACAAAAGAAAATATTATGAAACCATGGCAAACGAAGCAGAACAAGCTGCAGGCAAAGGAGACCTCGCCACACTCTACCAAACAACTAGGCACCTTTCGGGCAAACGTTCGACACAGATTAAGCCAATAAAGGACGACAATGGAAAGTCAATCACCAAAGAGGTGGAACAGAGAAAGCACTGGGTTGAACACTTCAAAAGACTTCTAAATCGTCCGCCACCTACAACACGCCCAGCAATACCAACAACGGAAGCAGAACTACCAGTGAACACTGACCCCCCGACGAAATCAGAAGTCCTGAATGCAATCAAGATGCTAAAAGCTGGGAAAACACCGGGACCAGATGGAATCCCAGCAGAAGCTTTGAAAATAGACCCAGAGACAACAGCGGACTTGATGACACCACTGCTGGAGAAGGTGTGGAAAGAGGGCAAAGTACCCGAGGATTGGAAGAACGGATACTTATTCAAACTTCCAAAGAAAGGAGACTTAAGTCAATGTAAAAACTGGCGTGGAATTATGCTTCTGTCCATTCCAAGCAAGATACTAAGTCGCATCATCCTGGAGAGAATCAAACAAGCCCTAGATGAAAAACTTCGTCCGGAACAGGCTGGATTCAGGAGAAACAAATCATGTATTGATCAAATCGCCACTCTACGGATCATCATTGAACAAAGCTTGGAATGGCAGTCACCTCTCTATCTCAACTTCATCGACTTTGAAAAGGCCTTCGACAGCGTCGATCGAGAGGTCATTTGGAAACTACTTCGCTACTACGGGGTCCCATCGACAATTATACATCTCATCCAACAGTTATACGACAATGCTGCATGCCAAGTAATCCACAACGGGAAACTTACGGAAGCCTTCGAAGTGAGGACGGGAGTGAGGCAAGGCTGTCTACTATCACCAATGATCTTCCTGATTGCAATTGATTGGATAATGCGACAGACAACGGCAACCAACGAGGGAACAGGCATAAAATGGACTGACACAAAAGACTTGGAGGATCTGGATTTCGCCGATGATATATGTCTGATTTCCCATAAACTGGAAGATATGCAAGTGAAAAGTAACAAGTTGGCAGAAGAAGCATCAAAGATAGGACTTCACGTGAACATAGATAAAACAGAGGTGATGAAGATTCCTAGCCAACATCAACAACAACAACAGACAACAATAAGCATAAATGGGAAGAACCTGAAAGAAACAACCTCCTTCACCTACCTGGGAAGCATCGTCTCAACTACAGGCGGAACTGACGAGGACATCAAAGCCAGAATCGGAAAAGCAAGACAAGCTTTCATTACTCTCAAATCTGTGTGGAGGTCAACAGCACTCAGCATCAAAAATAAGATCCGGATTTTCAACTCCAATGTGAAGTCAGTGCTACTATACGGATCAGAGACTTGGCGAGTCATAAAGAGCATCTCAAACAAACTTCAAACCTTCATCAACAGTTGTCTCCGCTCAATACTCAAGATCAGATGGCCAGAAAAGATCAGCAACAGGGATCTCTGGGAGCGAACCAATCAGGAACCGATTGTGAAACAAATAGGCAGAAAGAAATGGAGATGGATTGGCCATACGCTGAGGAAACCATCAAGTGACATCACTAGACAAGCCCTCGAGTGGAACCCGAAAGGGAGGCGGCGAGTTGGTCGTCCAAGGGTGACTTGGAGGAGGTCATGCGAAGAGATGAAAGCATGTGGACAGACCTGGAGTGGGGTGAAAAAGTTGTCAGAAAACCGAAGTCAATGGAGGTGCGCAGCTGAAGCCCTATGTTCCTCTAGGAACTAAAGGATACAATAATAATAATAATACAATTCAACATCATGGGTTACGCAATTCTGGACATTACTAGGTTGTAACTGATCTACTACAGGCGAACATTATAAGCAAAGGCGGTCTTCAGGAATGGTTAAATTCCACTAATTAGAGACCAAAATCCCACAAATTCAGAATTAAATTTTTTTTATTACAGCTTGGTTCCACACCATATTTTTGGTACTAGTATGGAATTTTCAGCATGGATATCGGTAGCCAAATTTTGCAGGCCAGCTATAGATATCAGGTGTGCGTCGGCAGGGGATCGAACCTCGGACCATGTGCATGGTCGGCGAGAGTCCTAACCACTGTGCCGCCGATGCACATTTTATGATAAAGAGTGAAAAGTAATCGACTTATTACCAGCTACATGTCTGCTCAGGAATATTCACACACACTCCTTATGGACTATTAACATCACATGCAAAACGGTAAAACAAAACAATAAGAACTTTATATAAAGCTCACTTGGTAATCTGCAGACCCTGAAGTGTCGACTGCGGGATTTTGATTTGAATAGCTTTCATTTGCGTTTTTGTTAGCTTTAGCTGCTTGAAACTCCTTCAGCTAGTGTAAATAGAAGTCACAGAAAAAACAGGACATCACTTTTTTGCTTTATTTTATTAATCGATCAAAATAGATAAAGACTGCATATTTATAAGCAGATGTATTGGTAAAGACAGAAATTTTTCAAACCCTATAGGCTAGTACATAATTTTAAATTACACAGTCTGTCTGTCTGCCTGTTTGTCTGTTTTCGACATAGAAATTTGCACTGATGTGCACCAGTTCAAGTCCCCACACTCCAAGTAGCACACAAAGCAAGAGAACAAAGTAGAAGGAATGCATAGTAGGGACAGTAAACAGAAGTGTGAGACAAAGGAATAGTAATAATGAAGAACGATATGGTTTCATTGGAAATCATAAGTCACAAGGAGTGGATGCATCTACGCCAGCCACTGAGAACGATCTTGAGCCATATCACCAATTGTCTCCAGCCACCATTGGGTTTTATCGTCCTGAGAACCCTAACCAGGAAGTCTACACCCTCCTAAGTGACTGACTTAAACTAACTGTTGTGGATTTTATTGACTGGTGTAGCAATTTTTCGGTTTGACCGCCACTAGCTCTTTTCCAGCTTGACCAACCCTATGTCAGCTGACACTGTTGGTCGAGGAAGGCGATGACTAGGCACATGTATCACATGTCCTAACCATCTCACTCAATCAATGTAACTTCACAGCCTCGTCGATTGATTCCCCCTCCTTACCTAGAACTCGACCGAAGCCTAACCTCAATATTGCTCACGTCATTATACCACTTTCCCACGGGAGATAGAACGCAGGCACCTATGATCAAAGACAGCTAATCTTTTCATGTCTTCCACCTCGAAAAGCACTTCAAAAAAGTTACACAGTACATTCTGAGACCGTTTCTGCGCTAGTTAACAGGTGCAACATGCAACTCCATGCCAATCTTGTCGAATAAATTCCACATTTTAATGCTTGACAGTCGATTCTTATTACAACAAAATGATATTACGAGGGACAAATGTGTAGAGAAGGAAGAATAATTCAATAAGGAGTAATTCAAATCTTCATATCCGCACAGTGGTAACTGATTTCCAACAACCATAACTGCAGAAGGCATATTCATGCATCTACCATCCAGGTTGTACAATCTAATAAGAGCTTACACACAAACTAGATGAATACAGGTAAGTGATTTACACAGAAAATCATTCGTGAAACTTTCACGAAATTCATAATAGTGTTAGCAATGTTTGTGGGGAGGATATTCCATACCACAGAGTTGCACTACACACGGGTCATAATTAAATAGTTATTATTACTTTCATCTATGAGCTGAATAACTAGATCAAATTAATGTCAGAAATAATTATTTGGAGTTGGTTTTTGCACTAACGTAGTTATTCCGTCTTTGGTAAATATGACACCTCAATAAGATACTATGTATTACCTACTGTGACTAAGATAAGTAGGTCTGTCTCTCTGTCTGTCTGGATTCAACATAGAACTTGGCACCGAAGTGCACCAGTTCGAGTTGCCACGTTCCAAATAGCACACAGAGGTAGACAAGAAGATGAGTGACGAGAATCAATACAGTCTGACAAGAGTGAAACAGAATGGGTAATGGTAGAAAGGAATATGAAAGATTACAGAGACTGAATACATCTGCGCTGGCCATTGACAACGATTTTGAGCCATGTCACCTATTGTCTCCAGCCATTGATTGTTGGAGTCCCGAGGGCCCCAACCCGGAAGTCTGCACCCCCCTCCCTACCTGACTAAGTTTAACTGTCAAGGATTTCATGGATTGATTGATGCCATGTTTTTGTTTGGCCACCACTGGCTCTTTTCCAACCTACACCTATATCAGCTAGTAATGCCCGTCGGGGGAGGCGGTGGTTAGGCATGCGCAGCACGTCACCTAGCCATCTCAGTCTATGTAACTTTATAGCCTCGTCGATTGATTTTCCCTCTTTGCCCAACACTCTACGCCTAACGTCAACATTACTTACCTTGTTAAACCACCTAACGTGAGACAGGGATCGCAGACATCTATGATCGAAAGCAGTCAACCTTTTCATGTCTTCAACTCGTATTAGCCATGTTTCAGAGCTATAGAGAAGGACGGAGCGAACTGATGAGCAGTACACACGTCCCTTGGTTGATAGCCGAATGTCACGTATACGCCAGAAGTGGTGTAAGTCAGCGAAAGCAGCTCGAGCTTTTTGGATCCTTTCTGATATTTCGTCGCCAATCAGTCCGTTGGAGCTGATACAACTTCCCAAATAGGTGAAGTGGTCAACATGTTCTATCACTTCACTCCCTATCACTAAGCTAGGAGTTGACGTAGTCCAGTCCTGTAGCAGCATCTTACATTTTGTAGGGGCGAATCGCATGCCAAACATACGAAGATTGCTGCTCAGATAAGTAGGTAAATTGATGACAATGTCAATCTCCATCGATTGGGTTGCCAAGAGCATATATTAAGTGTTCACAAGCACTGATCTTATTGACAAGCAATAATGCTAAAGGTAGGACTAGGTTAAGAAAGAAAGGTGGTCGTATTCAAAAAATAAAAAATGGTACCAATCGACAAATTGACTAGATATTGGTATAAGTTACGCTCATGCGATTTCAACGCATATGCAATGAAAATACTATGCTGAGAGAAACATAAATCTCACAAAAATATTGACTAAAGCTATGGATATATCAAAGCGAATACCCCCCAATAGTCTAATAGTCTTCAAACAAACATTAATACACTATTTTACTCTTCAGGATGAAACATGAAGTCTATGTATTAAAGAGATTTTGAAGGTCACTGTATAGAACGCTCTATGCAACTAAGCTTACGTTCATAAAAGAAATGGAAATAGTGTTTTCCTGTAAACCCTCACAGTAATTCAGTGATGATAAGATTCCAGTGTTCATCAATTTAAACCCACGACCACACACACACACACAGAGGACCTATTGGTACCTATGTTCAGCTTACCAAAGTGCCTGCAACAGTGGGTCGAATTTAACCCATGAACCCAATAGTAAATGCCCAACATAACCTATCTAAAAGTACATCATACTGACACCATACTGTTAAATTCAACTCTTCTAGACCCATATATATATATATATATATATATATATATATATATATATATATATATATATGTTCGTTAATGAACTAGTCATAAAACGGTTTAAACCCACTTTGTGTCCAGACAATTGTCAATACACTGAAAAGCCTTAGTAGTGTAACTTTATTTAAATACTAACATTATTATTCTCATCACTTAATATGACACTGACTCCTAATTTTAAATTCTGACCTCAAATTCATGAGTGTTTATCGTACTATGTCAACGATTACATAATTACCTACGACAAGAACAACCATGGCCAAAATATATGTTGTGCCCATACACTACAAACCAGATAGATCACCTTTGCCTACACTTTTGTCGAAACTTCTGTAGTATAAGTTGCCAGATAGCAGTCCTCAACAATGCTCACGGTCATTTAACCGACAACCTAGGCAACAACAATAAACATGTCTACACATGAACATAAACATTCTGGATATCTCCTGTTATGTTCATTGAAGTATACAGCATTTGACTTGTTCTCGTTATGCGCACTTTTCATGGAAGCCTGAACTAGCACATTTTCGTGTACACTTTTACACTAATTAGCGTAAGAATTACTCTTTAAATAAAACAAAACTACTTAAACGCTCGAAAATTTAATTCATATAATAATAAGCCAACAAGTAATTTCTAAATCTATTAAAGGGTAAAAACTGCACTTAACTTCAATATGCAGTACGCTGACTCAAAACAAATCAAACCGCATTCTATTCAACAAAGAAACCATAACAAAATGTGTCCGCAGAAACATGTTTCTGCCTCATCTACAGAAATCTGGCATGTGTTGTGAGAAAAACGAATATCAAAGGATCCATGAAGAGACCATAGTTCCCTCATAAGATTATAATCTCAATAAAAAATCATTTCTACATATATAACGTGAAAATAGACAGTGGAATAATCTAACTAGTGGAAAAAATTAATATTTAAATCTCTCTGATAATACTTAGGGGACCTAACCTTCTTCTGTGCAGCTGCAATTCTATCTGCCCTACTTAATTCTGGCATTTTGTTTCTTCGCCAGATTATGTAAACTATGACGTGTTCAACAAAACTAATGCCGCCCTCGGTGACCTTCAGGAATCCAATTCCGTACACTGCAAGGTTGGGAAGACTTACGAGGGAACATATAGAAGACGGAGGTGATAAACATAACTGACCAACCACAAGAACAAACACCAATCACTTATAACGAAAGAAATTTGAAACTGGTCACTTCTTTCACCTATCTAAGAAGTATCGTTTCAACTGCAGGTGAAAGCATTGATTCAGATTCAGATTTATTGGTTGAGGATAGAAGGCTTGCAGCCTATGTTAATCCTTTTCTAGTAGATTTCTTCTTGAACGAATCAGTTGAGGTTGCAGACAACACTTCTTCTGGGAGTCAGTTCCAAGAGTTTATGATTCGATGTAAGAACCAGTACTCAACAGCAATATGATTTCTCCTTGGCTTTTGAACTTTCCTGCTATGTCCTCTAAGCTGTTCCGACCTGGTGGGAAAGAAAAGTGAGAATAGGTCAGGATGTTATAAACCTCATCAGCCTGAAATCATTTAGAAATCTTCTACACTCGGTATAGGCAACAGGATCCGGATTTTCAACACTAATTGTCAATGGAGTTGAAGATTGAACGATCAATTCTTGGTTGTTTGCTCAAAATCAACTTCCCCAATTTTCGCGGAGGCATCAATACGACAGTCATCGTCTCATCGGTCGCTGTTCAGAAAGAAGAGTGAAACATCGTCAGAAGTAATCTCGTGATTTATTATTGTAATATTTGTTTTCAGACCTTAGTTTGCTTAGTTCGCTTATTCCTTTTATATGTTGGTGTAACAATAAACAAATCTAAAGCGGCAGATCAGTGTTTTGGTTTTTGCGTCCGTTATAACTAAGCGTTTCTGAGAAATCTTCGAAGAACAGCGTGGGCCCGAGCGTAGCGAGAGCTGGGCATTAACGGTTTATGAGACGTGATTGACACTAATATTAACTCAATTCTCCTATATGAATCAGAAATTTGATGGGTCAGGAAAATCACTTCCAACTAGTTGCTGTAGACTTTAGTCATACTTCAAGTGAATATTAGACGGCTACATAAGATAGGTCAAAAGGAACTCTTCTAACGACCCAACCAAGGACCTGTTGCTCAACAAATATTTGAAAGCGAATAGAGGTGGATGGGACAAACTCTGTGGAGACCGTTGGGTGACGCCGCGCACCAGGCCACTACTCGATTAGGATTTGAATGGGTTTGGCTCCTAAGGGTGTTATGGAGGAAGCCGTGTGAGAAGGAGGTGAGAGCCTATGGACAATCGTGGAGTAGCTATACAGGATTTCAGAGAACACAATGAAGTGGATATGTGGTATTGAAGCCTTATGATCTAATTGGGACCTAAGGGAATAATAATATTATAAGATAGTAAGTATCCGCCATTATTATCGTCACCATTATTCTTTCTGCGCCTTCCAAGTGGAACAAAAGATATCAGTGACAAGTCCCCATTCCACTTAGTTCTTTGCCATCACTATCAGTTGTCTCAGCAGTAGCCCATTAACTTCCATTTCATAAGCACACAGTCCTTTCCATGTAAGTGAGAGATGCTTTCAATGATGTGATAAGTTTCTGAAACATTCAGAAGGACTGGTGTAGGTCTCCACACTGATTGCAGAGTGTTGTGCATTTTTCCAACTTGCTGATCGTCCCACTGACATGTTCATCGCTACCGCTTGTAACTGAAGTGTCGATGTCGAAGTAAGTGTTGAGGACGCGTACATTCAACTTCCTGCCTTTAACGATTATTGGTGCCTCTAGATATTGGCCAAGTGTCTTTACCGCATCTGCCATCTCCCTTTCCACAATTAAGTCCTATCTTGACAAACCAACTTCTTGGGTTTTGCTGACATATCTCCTAGTTCGTGGGACTAAAGTTGTAAATCATCCACGATATCCAGGGTCCTGCAGGGTTCCTTCGCCGGTCCAACCTATGGCTGTCTCCTCATCCCCTGAGGTCTGTCGCATGACCCAGTCCACTGTGAGTGAGTATCCTACAGTCTCCATCATGATATGGCCTATTATTTTCCTGACGTAGACGGAAGTATGTATCAGCAAAAGTTCTAACACAAAGTCACCGCTCGCTGGCAAATTTACGGTGTGACATTTCTTCACACTGACAAGTACCTCCCCCTTTTTATTACCTTACATTTTAGCAAGTTGGTGCATCCGCTGAGGCTTCCGAACCCATTTTCGGTGTCCCAGTGGAGATACCACCCAATTCTTCCGTTTTCCGAGGTTTCAAAAATCATAGGCCTTCCACGGCTTCCCTGTGTTTGTGAACAATTATTATATAAGACTTCTTCCAAGAAGTGAGGTGTTGTCTACTCTCTTGTGAAGATGATTAAAGTATCAGAAGAAGTGAATTCATCTCATTCCCACCATATTTATTAGAACTAAAGGTGTAGTTTGTGGACATGAGGCATTAAGAGGCTTGAGACTGATGAAAGGTTTATCTGTTCCTCAGGTGTTCATAACTGCAGTTTAGGCACTCATCTCTTTATCATGGAAATCTGAGAAGGATTTACCCTCTGAACTCTGTAGTCTGGCAAGATTTTCGCCCAAAATTGTGCATATCTCCTCAGAATTTTAACGCGTGATGCTGTCTATGAGCATTAGTTTCGGGTAGGTTGGTTCGGATTTTGTTAGATTGCTGCCACGATGTTGCCACTTTCGTATATTGCAACAACAGAGTTTTAAATAGAGCTACCGGGTTGAACACGAATATGGCGATCACTATTATCACTGATCTACTTCATCAATGTGAACGATAGACACCGGTTTACCCAGCAGGCACTACTTAGGCGAGAACACACCACTGAGACGAAAATGTATTTATCGGTGTCCGAATGAGTACCAGTATATAGAATAAAAAGATGATATATACATGGTCACCGCATTAGGCGACAGAAGTAACCATAAAGCGATGTATAAGAAAACATGGCTTATTCCAAAACTTACCTTTAGCACCACATCATTTCCAAAAATTACTTTACCGGGTCCATGAGAGAAGCAAGTGGCTGAAATGCGAATAACTGCAAACTTTTAGAAATTCAAGTACTGAAGTCCACTGGCAATAACTATTACTCCTTCGGGTTTCATGTGGAATATAGGACTTCATCAAGATATCTAGACTTTCTTCTATTTTCCGAAGCCCTCTTCAGCTGCGCCCGAGAATTCCAATAAACTCTAATCTCCTCCTCTAAGTCACCGTCACACTGAAGACCAACTCGCCGCTTCCATTTAGGATTCACCTACAGCAATGACCTACAGTTCAGCAATCGGCTCTCGCTCGTTGGTTTGCTGCCAGCCAGAGTTTCTTGTTACTATTTTTTTCAGGCACTTGGCCACTTAATTTCAGTATGGAGCCAGTGATGGTGGAAGCTGTTGATAAGAGTCTGCTTTGACCTGTTGGAAATCCTTTTGTTGACACTCGCCGCAAATGTCTGACCCGTGCAGAAGAACTGACTGACTTCACATATATGTTAAACAGAGTCCATATCTTGTTCCTCATGCTGGCTGATTTAATGAGGTTTCAAGACTGAATTCAGATTGGTGAAGGCGTATCTCGCCCTTTCCGATTCCGGCCAGCTTTGACGTCTTTATCCATTCCGCCCGTATTTGGGACGACGCTTCCTAGATAAATAAAGGAAGTATCTTCATTCAAGTCTGTCTTGTTGATGGTGACTGGCGCGCGACTGTTGTTGCTGTTGGTGATGTTTTTTTATCTTCATAACCTCCGTCTTCTCTATGTTCACCTGCAGTCCTGTGTTCGCTGTCTGCTTTTCCAGCCAAATTGTTGCTTTTCTCCCGTCAGTCTTCGGGTTTGTATGACATTAGACATATATCACCTGCAAGATCCAGACCATTTATAGTCTTCTTATCGTGGGTCTAGAGTATTACTGTCTCTTAGCTACCCACGGCACCACCCCCAATCCAGTCTTTTACAATCAAGAATATCACCGGTGATGATAAACAGCTGGCTTGTCTTACTCCTGCATTCACTTCGAATGTCTCAGTGAGTTTCACGTTGCGGGTCGCCTGACATATGGCACCGTCATATTACTGTTGAATGAGGTCGATACAGATTTCAGGCACGCCGCAGTGTTGGAGTAGTTTCCGAATTACTTCTCTGTCAACGCTGTCAAAGGCCTTTAGGAAGTCGATGAAGTCGAGGTAGGGGTTTGACTGCCATTCTATGCTTTGTCCTGTGATGACGATGCGTAGAGTTTTAATTCGGTGAGCACACGTTTCGCACTTCCTGGATTCGGCTTCCCTTATGCTAGAGACGTTCGGAACCCGGCTCATCATTGATTCTCTGCAGGATGACGCGACATAGTATTTTACTTGGCGAGGAGAAGAGCATGATTCCATGCCAGTTCTTGCAGAGGCCCAAGTCGCAATTCCTTGGCAGCTTCAGAAGGTAGCTAGCCTTTTTCCCAATCCATAGGTAGGCACCTTTCCTTCCTTTCCGAACCCATCGCAATAATGGCGCAAACTCATCTGCCAGAGTTTCGGGGCCGTTTTCAGTGCTTCGGGGGATTCGTCTGATCCTGACGCCTTTCCGGCTAGTGTTCAGTAGCTTGATCGCATTCCAGATTTCTGTTTTGTCAGAGAATTTGTGTCCATTTTGCGTGCTGTCAAGGGCATTTCTGTGTGGGTCGCAGGTGAAGTTGGTCGATTTAAGAGTCCTTTGGAGAGATCAGCTGATTGTTTTATTCGTTTCCCCTAATCCTCCCTGGTAGTCAGGTTACCTTTAACATCTTTTATTGGCTTCATCTTCTGAGTTATAATAATAATAATAATAATAATAATTTATTTTCATATAAACATAAATTTACATGAAAATGCATGCCATTTTTACAGGCACGATCAAGGATGATATAATGTCAAATCTTAAATTGTCTACAAGTTAATAATGTTTCAACAGTTAAATATTTGATATATATATAAATACACAT